GTGTTGAAGAATTTCCTTTTGACTGTGCAAGAGGTCATCTTTTCCAAAGTCCAGCTACTCGCAGAACCACGCGTGCTCACCAATTTGGGACGATTCATGACACACCTTGGGGAGGCAGTGTTCGAAGGTTGGTTTGTTGACGGGGCGGCTGCAACTCTTGAATTCGCAGGGGCAATCCTCGAGTATCTGCAACGGCCCGATGTCTCTTGTCTCAAGAGTATAAGGCTCTGCAGTCAAGCTGTGTCCACAATTCGGTCGACTGTATTCCGCGTCGTCTTGCTTCGGCTATCGGAAGTCGAAGGCACGGAAGCTCTTACGTTTCTGAGCCGCCTGTCCTACTGGCAGGTGATTCTCCTTTCCGGTGACGCTCAGTCAAATCACCTGCAGCTGCTATGTTACCTCTTGTACATCAAGCTAGACGATGGAGACGAGAATGTGCGCCTGGCTGCAGCAGGGCTCTTCCGAATTCTGCTAGTACAGAAACCTGCTGACATGGCTACCATACTTAGTCAAGCGTCAATAACCCTACAAAAGCGGCTGTCTGCTGGATTTGAAGCTCTAATGGGTATGGACGATGCGGCTTTCTTACGGTGGTTTAACGATCGAGAAGGAGACCTACACTCTCTATTCTTTGGTGTCATATCCAAGCATTGGGAAGACTTCGTTCACGAAGAGAATTCCAAGATCGAGACTTCGTCGCGTAGCCGAATTTCTAAACGCCAGGAGAAGCTGAAGCAATGGAAGCACATAGATAGCTTCGGTGACGAAGTGACACGCAAGCACCTCGTGACGTTCCCTCACTGGGCATCGAACATATCAGGATCGGAGTTTCTGAAGTTCCAAAGGGCGCTCCAGGACCACCAAGATGATGCTGTCTTCATGTGGACGACCTTTTCAAAGCTTACATTGGATTTACGACGGTTCGGCGGTCTTCTGGCCGAGGATAAGGAGCGAAAGTGGCGCTTGGATCAAACAGAAGGACGGAGCCGTATGCGCCTTCGCATAGTACCCGATGAGACTGATGAGAGGCAAAATTACCAGCCGAAACGGAAGGCATCTGAGCCTCCCGTGATTAAAATTGACACGGACGTTCGACCTTCATCCAGTGCTGGTACCCTTGGGTTGACCCCTACGGTCGCGAATAATGAGGCTGGAGAGGGTGCTTCGCAAGGCATTTCGCCAGATAGCCGGAGTATGCTCGAGGATAGCTTCGAAATGATTGAAGATCCGAAGGCTGATCTTGAAGACTACGAGGACAAAAACCGCAAAGTCATGCGGAGTCTCCATCGTGGCGATCAGGTTGAGGGTGTGTGCAACATGTCTCGTATCATTGGGTTGGAGGCATTTGAGGGGCTTCTGATTCAAGGAAAGGATCATATCTACATTCTGGATAACTTCTTCCAGAGATCTGACGGCGAGATCGTAAATGTATGGCAAGCTCCGTCAGACGAACGCGACCCTTACGTTCGCATGATTGCCGGCCGAGAATCTAGTGAGCGCAAAGCACAGGAGCATGAAACAAGAAGCTGGAAATGGTCTGATCTGATCAGTATCTCCAAAAGACGCTTCCTTTTCCGTGATGTGGCGTTGGAGATCTTCTTCACCGATGGGAGTAGCTATTTGCTAACACTCATCTCGTCGCGAGCCCGAGATATTCTATGCAGTCAGCTCGCGACGAAAGCTCCCCAAGTGACCGGTAGTGTTGGCCACGCGCGTCCGGAGGATGTCTGGAGGTTTGAAACCCTTCGCAGTCAAGACGACGCACCGCAATCTCTCGGGTCGAAGTTTGCCAGCGTTTTCGGCCACTCTCCGCTCTATCCAGCTACGCGCAAATGGGTCAAGGGTGAAATCTCCAACTTCCACTACCTTATGCTGATCAACACACTTGCGGGGAGGACGTTCAACGACCTGACGCAGTATCCCGTGTTTCCATGGGTACTTGCCGACTATACAAGTGACGAACTGGATCTGAACGATCCTAAAACGTTCCGTGACTTGTCCAAGCCCATGGGATGCCAAACGCCAGAGCGAGAGGCGGAGTTTAGAGAACGGTATAAGGCTTTCGCCGAAATGGGGGACGACGACGCTCCTCCATTCCACTACGGAACGCACTATTCTTCTGCGATGATCGTGAGCTCATACCTGATCCGACTGCAGCCTTTTGTCAAATCCTACCTTCTCCTTCAGGGAGGTACGTTTGATCATGCCGACCGCCTCTTCTACTCGGTTGGAAAGGCATGGGAATCTGCGTCACGCGGCAATATGTCAGACGTACGAGAGTTGATACCCGAGTTCTTTTATCTCCCTGAGTTTTTGGTGAATTCCAATAAGTACGATTTCGGGCTCTTGCAGAACATGACGACTGTGATTGACTCGGTGGAGTTACCGCCCTGGGCCAAAGGCGATCCCATGATCTTCATTGCTAAACACCGGGAGGCGCTCGAGAGTCCGTACGTGACCCAGAATTTGCACCATTGGATTGACTTGGTGTTTGGAAGCAAGCAAAAGGGAGAGGCCGCGGTCGAGGCAGTGAATGTCTTTCATCATCTGTCCTACCAAGGTGCCAAGGACATCGACTCTATTGATGACCCCGTGGAACGCCTTGCCACGATCGGTATCATTCACAACTTCGGGCAGACACCGCATCAGATTTTCAATCGGCCTCACTTGCAACGCGAAGACCCCGGACATCGAACGCCCCGACTGGATCGGCTTGCCGAATCGCTGACACAACAGCCCCTTGCGCTTCTTGGTGAGAATCTAACCACGATATGAATAATTCCGTGTTGACTAATGTGGGAATAGATATTGGCGAACGAGTGGCCACCTTATCGATGAAACAAGACCGTCTGCTGTGTGCCGCTGCCTTGCGACTCAACATCCCCCCTAGCTACGACAAGTATATGGAGTGGGGATTCTTTGACGGCAGTGTCAGATTCTACTCTGCGGATAGCCGACGGGTACGAATGTCTAGTCATTGGGGTTTTAGAACACCCTGTCAGAAGTATAGCAGCTAACACGACTCTAGCTACTGGGTCACTTTGAGCATCTTCATATCGGCCAACTGTCCTGTGCGGTTTTCGCAGATTCTCGAACGTTGGTAACCGCCGGCGCCGACTGTACGGTGTCAATTTGGACCTTCACCTCATCCATCAAGTCGGTTGATCTACAGCCCACGGGATCACTATTTGGACACCGATCCCCGGTGACTACGCTTGCGGTGTCACGGTCATTCAGTACGCTTCTGTCGGCATCCACGGACGGGCAGATTATGCTTTGGGATCTCAATCGGCAGTGTTTTGTACGGGAACTGCCAGGCAGCGGGCCTGTCGATGTGAGCATGCTGTTTTCCCATAACGTATTATCACGTTATGTATACTAATGCAGGTACAGTGTGCTCGGATCAACGATGTGACGGGAGAGATCATGATTTGTCGGCGCGACCGAGTCAGCCTCTACACGCTCAACGGGTCACTGCTCCTGGAACAGATCCTGTGCGATTCAGTGGACGACTCGATTATGACATGTGTCTTCTACGAAGGAGTGAACAATGAGTGGCAGGAGCGCGAGCTGCTGTTCACTGGACACCGAAGAGGCGTCGTCAACGTAAGAGTCCTATTCTACTGCTACGGACCTAAGGTGCTGATGCTAATGAACTACAGATTTGGAGCAAGATCATCCATCACGGGCGATTTGAGTTGGAGTTGATCCGGCAACTGCACCATGTGGACAGTCACCGCGACAATGGCGCCAACATCTCGGCGGGCATTAGCTGCATTATGGCCCAGCCGCACGTGGTATACACTGGCGATGAGCTGGGACGAGTGGTAAGTGTGGTTGACATATTGGGGTAAAAGGGTAGATCGTGTATGCTGACGGGGTATCTAGTACGAATGGAGCTGTGTCCAGCGCCGGTGAGGAGGGCCGTTGTTGTCAACTACTTTTACACTGATCTGTCTACCACCGGGGAAAAAGTGGACTCCGCGGAGGGCCTCGGATCGAGTCCACGGAGAAGGAGGTCATCGTGGGATGGACCTCGTCTCTTTCCCTTGTCGGTGCCCCACCAAACCTCCGGGCATGTCTGATGATCTTGTCTTCCGATATTGTATGCGCCGAGTATTCCAATCCCGTAAACATATCTCTCTTTGTCATTATGCTGCCTGTCTCATACTGAAGACGGAAAGAACGCGCTGGAGGGGTGCGAGTGTTTTCAGTTGTAGATGTTTGTTGTAGCAAGAGGGCCGCGGAGCTAGAATAGTTGACCGTGGGGAGAACCGAGCTACTGTTTTAGAACCGTTACCTACTTTAGTCAAATGCCTCCGGGGGTGGTGGTGGGATAAAGAAGAGGCCAAGCCGTAAGGAGAAGATGGCATTCGAAACGCAACCCTATTTCCGTAACTTAGTATTGAACACGGTTCGGTGACAAGGCCGATTATGCTGGCTGAAGGAGGGGGATCTCCACCGGAAGGACTGCTGTGCTCCAGAGGGAATAAAGGAACACCACGGAAGGAGGGGTGGTGGACAAGCTCCGGTGAGGGAAAAGGAGTGGGAAAAGAGGAGCAGTGTGGACCGGGGATTGCTGGTCGGTTGCCGGAGCACTCTGCGCCGACCAGCCCGTGCTCTCTCTCTCTCTCTGTGTTGTATGTATGAATGAGAGAGAAGCTGATGGAAAGAGAAAGAGGTAGTAAGGAAAGGGATAAAATGAGAATTATTGGGTGATCAATCAGAATGACAGGATGTATATTGCGAATGGAAGGGAATAAGAATGAATTGATGTGAATGGAAGAGATGGGAGGGAAAAGAGAGGATGTACCATAGATAGATATTGCTGGGTAATGCTATGATAATACTCGGTAATTGTTGAGGCGAAAAGAAACAGAAGGGAGGGAAGGGAAGGGAGGGAAAGGCATAGCGTCATCGGCCCTTCTTGCCCAGGCTTTGCCCCACCATAACATTTTGGTAAGGAAAGAGCAACCCCTCCTCACTCTGACGGGCCTCTCACTGCTGCTGCTGCTGCTGCTGCTCTCTGCTTGGTTGCTCCGGCTTCGTCGCCACGTTCTCGTTCCCCTTCTTATTTCACTCTCCGTTTCTTCCGCTTCTTACCTTCTTCTTCCTCTTCTCTTCCTTCTTCATACTATCTGTCCAATCTCTCTATACCCCTCTCCCCCATCTCATTTTACTTTCATCACCTTTCATCTATTTATCCTCAAATCTCCACCATGTCCTCTTCTCTCGAGCAGCTCAAGGCCACCGGCACTGTAAGTCATTCATTACTTTCCCGACATCGCCCGTGTCATCTTCACAACATCGCTAACCATTCATCTTCTCATCAATTCAGGTCGTCGTCTGCGACTCCGGTGACTTCGCCACCATTGGCAAGTACAAGCCTCAGGATGCTACCACCAACCCCTCCCTGATCCTCGCCGCCTCCAAGAAGCCCGAGTACGCCAGCCTCATCGATGCCGCCGTCGCCAAGGGTAAGTCTGAGGGCAAGACCCTCGACGAGCAGGTCGATGCCACCCTCGACCGTCTGCTGGTCGAGTTCGGCAAGAAGATCCTCGAGATCATCCCCGGCAAGGTCTCCACTGAGGTCGATGCCCGCTTCTCTTTCGACACCCAGGCCTCCATTGACAAGGCCCTCCACATCATCAAGGTATGCCAGCAATGTTCTACTTTCAACAAAGGCGGGTTGCTAACGAATTGCTACAGCTCTACGAGGAGAACGGCATCTCCCGCGACCGCATCCTCATCAAGATCGCCTCCACCTGGGAGGGTATCAAGGCCGCCCAGGTCCTCCAGTCCCAGCACGGCATCAACTGCAACCTGACCCTCATGTTCTCCACCGTCCAGGCCATCGCTGCCGCTGAGGCCGGTGCCTACCTCATCTCTCCCTTCGTTGGCCGTATCCTCGACTGGTACAAGGCCGCTCACAAGCGTGACTACACCGCCGAGGAGGACCCCGGTGTCAAGTCCGTCCAGAGCATCTTCAACTACTACAAGAAGCACGGCTACAAGACTATTGTCATGGGTGCCTCTTTCCGTAACACCGGTGAGATCACCGAGCTGGCTGGCTGTGACTACCTGACCATCTCCGTAAGTTTTCCATTATATTCTCTATATCTGGTACATGAATTAACATGATCTAGCCCAACCTCCTCGAGGACCTCTTCAACTCCACCGCTGCCGTCCCCAAGAAGCTCGACGCCGCCAACGCCGCCGGCCTCGACATCCCCAAGAAGACCTACATCAACGACGAGGCTCTCTTCCGCTTCGACTTCAACGAGGAGGCCATGGCCGTCGAGAAGCTGCGTGAGGGTATCTCCAAGTTCGCCGCTGACGCCGTCACCCTCAAGGACATCCTGAAGCAGAAGATCCAGGCATAGATTGGGAGACTGATCTGATGTGTGCATTTTTGTGATGACCTTTTTCTTTTACTATTATTCCCATGTGTAAAATTGATGACCTGAAAAATTCGTTTGGGTAGATACGAATTATGATTATCATATACCATTACCAATTGCCGCTGTAATATAAGTAATACTATAATCCAATGTAAACGGTAGCAATAGAGTACGAAGTTTAAAGACACTTTAAGCCGCTCCACCATCAACATCATTCTGTCGAAACCATGACTCTTCAAATTCCGGTAGTATCAGATGATCGGCGCCTGCCTCCTTCACCTGATGCCATCGACTGAATTACTGCCATCCTTCATAAGAGACCCATAACTGCACCAGAGGGAGAGAAGAGGCATAGTGCCAGTAGATTGATTAGTATGACGCGACGGTGACTGATCTTAAACTCGATAGCTCAAGAGCGCATTTTTTCCTCTTCGATATATATCACAAGGGGGCCAAGACCAGTCCATCTTTGGGCCACAAGAAGCCCAGTCATCCTCATCTTCATCCTCATTAGTATCAAATGGAATATCGCAGAATGTCGATAGTAAGTAAGTATAATCCCCTCGGGACACCTTTGTGTATATATTGTGAAAGGATTCGATGTCGAAGAATAGGCCAGAGAGAGATAATAGTTAGACCCGAAATCGTCATTGTCTTTATCTGCCCCTTGTTCAATTGGGAAAAGACAGAGGTATAGAAACCTAAAATTCCAGACGGGAGCATAGTCACCTTCGTCTTCCTTGTGTAGTTCATGGGAAGAGAACGATTGTCGAGAGTGATGAATGTAATGCCGCATGCCATCGTCGCCCCTTTTTCTTGTTCTTTGTCCTTGTTCTTGGAAGAGAGACTAGGAATATAGATGGAGAATGAATGTAAACCCGGACAGCTGCCGTGGTCATCATCTTTTTTGTCTTCATCTTCGATATAGGTACTGGAGATTAATAAAGGCCCAGGCACCGTCGATAAGAGACTTTCCTCCTCCTCCTCCTCCTCTTCTTCTTCTTCTTCTTCATCAGGGAAAGAAAGACAAGTTATGTCGAATATAAAAGCCCTGACGCCATCGTGATCATCATCATCTTCGTCGTCGTCGTCCCCATAGAAAGAGAAGACGAAGGATATAGAAAGTAAGCCACGGGCAATATCGAATAGGTCACTGCCGTTCTTGCCGTTCTTGCCGTTCTTATAATCTAGCGAAGGCCGGAGATATCGATATTAAAAGACCACACGCCATCGTGATCGTTATCATCTTCGTCGTCACTATAGAAAAGGAAGACGAAGGATATAAAAAAATAAGGCTTCTACACAAACGGGTCACTGCCGTTCTTACCATGATCGAGCGAAGGCTGGAGAGATAATAAATTGTACCCCAGATATCTTCGTAGTAACTGTCTTCTTCATTGTTGTTATCGAAGAGAAGGAGAAAATATCAAAGATAGATTTGCAGTTACTACCATGGTAGTATCCGTCATCTTCGCCATTGAAAGAATAAGGCTGAGAGATATTGGTGTGAAATACCAGGCGTCGACAGATATATCTTCCTCATCTTCATCTTCTTCTTCTTCTTCTTCTTTTTCATTCCTCTTAATGAAGGAGCAGAGATATAAAAATAAAACCCCCCACACCCATCGAAGGGGTCATTTCCGTTCTCATCATCGATTAAAGGGGCGAGATATGTAAAAGAAGACTCCCGATATCTTCGTACAGATCGTCTTCTTCATCCCCATCTTTCAGGATGTCATAGAGATGTTAAACTTTATAAAGACCCCAGACGCCTTCGAAGAAGTCACCTTCACCATCGCCATTATAAAAATAAGGCGGAGAGATATCGAGAATGAAGCACCAGGCGCCGGCATAGATGTCTTCCTCCTATTCTTCTCCTTCATTTTCCGTGATGAAGGAAGGTCGGAGACATCAGAGTGTGAACCGTCCAAGTTGATCCGGGGCGAAGGTTGAACAGACAAGAGTGTACACTCCTTCACCAAGTCCCCTTTCATTTCCCGCAAGTGACCCGCTACGCTGGTAGTCACCGTTATTGGTTATTATATCGCGGTTCCGAAACTTTTATCGGGATTTATCCTCTTCTATATCCTCATTTCCGAGAGGGAAAGACAAGAGAGATAAAATTTGTAAGTTCGCGATGCCAGTTGTAGATATACTCTTCCATTTTATTATAGACAAGCGAAGAGAAAGATATGGGGGTTCAAGGGTACCCCAGGCACCATGGCGGTCATCATCATCATCTTCTTCATCAGAGAAGTTTCCAGAGATGTCAGAAAAAAGGACCCTAGACGTCGTCGTATTAATTGCCTTTATCATTGCTATCGGAAAGGAAAGGCAAGAGAGGTTAAAGATAGGAATTCAAGATCGTCGTCATCTTCTCCATCCCCACCACGAAGGGAAATGTCAGAGAGATGATTATTGTGACCGCATCCGCCGGCCAATAAGGTAAGCCGCCTAGCCTGCTAATGAGCAAGTAGCTCTATGACCTCTTTCTTTCCTTTTCGTTGCTTTCATCGAGCAATATTGAACGAAAGACGGCCATACTCTGGAATCAGCTAGGCTTATAAGGAATAACACAGGCCAGCATAACGTTGTTCGTCAGTCGATAGGTAAAACATGGCTGATGATGGATAGATGGATAGTTAACCCCGACAATAAAGGAAATTACCGCATTCGCGATCCAATAATATATTAAATTGTTCATTGGGCTCTCGCGTGGTGTAAGTGATAGTGATAAGCGACTTCTTGCCCGTTCTCCTTTACTGTCAGGAAGCAGCAGTAGAGACTGATCAATGATGAGAACAATTATCCTCAGGATGTCGGATAGTTGAAGTAAGAAAGGCCACCACAACCCTAAGCATCAGCCAAGAATGTGACTTTTGGCTAAAATATTACCAGATGTAATGATGGGCAGAATCGCAAGTCCTGAGCATAGCCAGCGTAATTGGATTTCACAAGTTGATATCTGGTAATGCATATCCTGGAAAGGAGTCGAGACGCGACAGAACGTAATCTAATCCATAGTAATTTGATATTAAGGTGCTCATTGGATTCTCGTGTGGAGTAAGTTGCAGTAGTAATGAGCGAGCCCATCATGCCTTGTGATTGGCTTCCGTCCTCTTTCTCTTGCTATTGGAAAGATGAAGTCATGATATAAGATAAAGATGATAATTTTTGCATGGAAGATCGCAGAATAAAACGGTCGACACAACCCTTTGCATCCCACAAAGATCGTGATCCGATGATCAGGTGTTGATTGGGATCCTTGGGTGGAATAGGTAGGGCTTGTCATGTTCATCTTCCTTCTTCCTGTCCTTTTCATCTTTCTTGTTTATTTCCTTTTTCTTCCCATCAGTTTGCTTTGCATCTTCCTTTTCTCTTCCTTTTTCTCTTTTTCTATATCTTTTCTTTCCCCATGTCTTTTTCCTTCCCCCCACCCTCTTTTTTTATCTTTCTTATTTATCTTATTTTTTTCCCTTCCCTATTCTGTTCGTAAGGGAATGATATGAGGATTACCAGTTTCTGGTCCCAGTATCATTGGTTATGTCAAGGATATTGTAGACCTGCCGTCGATAGAAAGGTAATAAGGGCAGATAAATAACCAGAGCGATTATAAGGAGAATAGTCTCTCTCATAACAAACGCAATTGCATCTTATTATATCAGTTAGATCGTTCCATGTACTGAATAGATAGTAAGGATGAGCGAGTGTCCATAGAAAATTTATCGGCAACGTTTTCTCCCCATTCTTTTATTCTCGAATATGAGCGATTTATCGCCTTCTTGTCACTTTTCCTTCTGGTAGGGACAATAGAATATCCGGCAGCATGGACAGATTTTGGCCGGATTATGTTAGTGCCGCCAGTTTGAAAGATAAACATTTAGACCTATTGGTATCTGATAATAAGTCTCGTATACATACTTAGTGGTATATACTGGCAATCGAAGTTCTCGCAGTAACGAGCGAGCCCGTCGGGTAATTCTTCTTGCTCTGCTGTTGTGAACTAATACTGGTTATAAGAAGACGGACAACGATCGATTGATCCAAATTATGACGCTGAAACTTAACGAGTGTCTGTAGCGTCTACATAGTGCCATCAACCAGACCATTTATTGGGAAGTAAATGTTGAGATTGATGATGGACTGGTAATGTTGATCCGACTGTATCTTTTCTGTCGCCTAAATCATCACGTGTAGTAGCAATGAGCGAGTCGGTTGTAGATTTCCCCCTTCGTCTTTGTCGTTAAGAAGTCGGAAAAATGAAAAAAGAAGAAAAATCATAGGTTCTTCCCGTCTCGTGCCATGGACATAACTTTGCTATGCCGTCAATGTCCATATACTAAACAGGCCATTAGTGAGTGGGAGATAGGCCTTGCGATCATGACGGAATGATCGTAATGAATCGATCATGTATACATGCTATCGATTTGTTTCTTTTGATTACCAGTAGCAAGTCTGTCTGATAATTCTTTCTTCGTAGTATCAGTTATGATAATGTCGTGGTGAGCTTCTTGCTTTCCGTTTTTGCTGTTAAGAAGCAGTAACGAAAAGGTTATCGGAGCCATTGTCGTTTCGGCCCTGGCATTGGCAGATAACGTCGCGATGAGCAAAATATGTGACCCTTTTCTGGGTTCTAATATAATTCGAAGTGGCCATGATGTGCCCTCGTACGTATAGCTTCAGCGAGGAGATCAAGATTGACATCAATGGATAATGCTCGGCACAATTTGTAATGTGAAAAGAGATATCCATTGTAGTTATCAGTTGCAAGAGCCAATGCATTTCTGAGTCTGTCACTTATATGACACCTTTAAGAATGCGGTCCACGAAGCATTGGATTGTATACTCTATTTGTTGATTATCTTTATCATTTGAAAGCTCTTGAAGTCGGCCGTGGAATGTTATCTTTGGCTATTAGAGTCTGGGTGCTTTGCCCGCATTGGCTAGATGTAGCAAAGTTTCCTCTTCCATAAGGACAGCGAAAGAGTCCAGATAAAGATAGTCACAATCGATACCACGAGCAATTCTGTAGGTAATCTCTGGGTGAACTTCAATAAAGCGAGTTTTTGCCCCCTCATAAATACAGGTTCAGGATATATATTCCCAGGTTCGAAAGGAGGAGTTACCGAAGAGTCATATTGTGATTTTGGCCACGGTAATGCGGATAATGGCGCGATGAGTAGGATATGTGCCCATTTTCCGAGCCCCAGTATATGTACTAGGTATATCTCCTCAAGACTGAGAGAAGAAGGTTATCAAAGATCTCCGTTATTATTATGGCCACGAAGTCTTGGCAGATAATGGCGCGATGAGCAACGGGTGTGCCCATTTTCCGAGCTCTAATATAGTATATTAGGTATAAGTTCCGCCGGTTAATGTTCTCGTGGACTAATAGTCATGAGCGAGATTGTCGTTGAGTCGACTATCTCCTCCTCTTTGCTGTTAAGAAGCAATAATAATAAGAACAACCGTCGGTTGATCCCAACTCGTCACTGACATTATCCGGATGATTATTCTCATCATAACATCACACGTTCGAACATTGATTAGAGCAATAAGAACGAGATAATGATGGGGATAAATTCGCGACACATTCTTTTAGTTGATTGGGTCTTTCGCATGATAGAAAACAAACACCATCCATCTTGGTTCTCTGAACTGCCAGTAAGCAGCAGCAATAATAATAGGGACTACCGCTTTAGTGGGAAGTCCGCCACGGATATTCATACCAGTCCAGTGCCTTTTTGCTCGCTCGCCTTATCCTCTGGGAAGCTTCGAAGAATGTTGGCAGGGGCCATGGTGTTTCAAGTACCAAACCTTTGAAATAAGAGGTATCGAGACCACAGTAGATGATACAACAGTCGACGCTCAATCTTTGTAGCTGATTGAGTCTTTAGGCGAGTTTGACCCTCTCCTTTTCATTGCTCTCAGTAAGATGCAGCAGTAACGGCAAGGTCAACCATCAATGGCTTAAACACCACCCCAGATAATAATGTAACTTTCATGATTATGAGCATCCCGGACCATGGACGGGAACGAGGTATTGAGGTCGTAAGAGATAAGAGTGACACTCGCGACCCAGTTTTTGTGGTTGAGTAAGCCTTCTTGGAAAATAAAAAACAAAACCAACTCTTCTTCCTTCGCTGCTCGTGAGAAGCAGCAGCAGTAGTAAGAACAAACATCCGTTGCCCCGAACTTTATTCTAGGCGATAATGCGCCGTGCATCATCTCCATGCCGGATCGTCGACAGAGAAGCAGATATAAATAAGAGGGTAAACGAAGTTGATTAAATCTTCCCGGTAGTCAGTTAGTTCAAGAGTTTTTTCCTCCTTGCCTTGATTGTTCGTAAGCAACAGCATAACAAGGACGACCAGCTTGCTCGTCTGATTCTCTGGTAAGTGCCATGTATAATGATATGACTATTGTCAGGATAAGCGTCCACATAACACTCCCGACCAAGAAGTATCATCGTAGAACCGCTATCACGGCGTAATGTGAGTAGTTGATTGATCCTTTCGCGCTGCAAGTGAGCTCGACCTTTCTCTCATTCTTAGCAATAAGTAAAGGAGCCATGGACTGCTCCAGACGCTTGCGAGGTTAAGTGCCGCAAGTATTACTGTGAATGTCATTGGTCCGTCGACAGATAAGCAGATAGAGATCATATGGGTGGCAATGTAGTTAAGAGGATCTTCTCTTGCATACGAATTTTCAACGGCTCTGCATATGCAACCTGCATGACGATCGTAGTGCCGTCATGCATGTTTTGAAGAATGACCGTGTACTCGGACTTTCTTACTATCAGGAGATAGCTTTTCAATAGGTCACTCATTTTGTTTGTGTCGCTGAGAACATCAAAACAGAGAGAAGAAGGTTGTCCCATCGATCGAGCAAGTGATACATTCATCGTTTGTCGTATCCTCGAAACCGATTAAATGTATAGTTCCCGATGGTAAGCACCAAGATCGATCTTATGTAGAAAAGTTGAGCACGGTGCGATTTCTCGTGAACGATTGATCCTTCCAGGTGCTAGAAGCCCTTTTAAGGATGATTGTCCTCGATGTTATTAGTTCGATAGTAAACGTGGGACCATTCCACCCATCAAGTTCTGTTTGTTGAGGATAGTAGTTGATAACGATGTGGTTTCCATTTGAGTAAGAAGCGCAGCATATATTCGACAGAGAATGGGCTATGCGATCGATCGGGCATTGGTCATCCGAAGTGTTCGGTAGTCTATCTAGTCGTCTGACTTCTCTCCTTCTGAGTGCCTCGATCAGTTTGCTCCGTACTCGAGGCAAAATCACCTGTGTACACGCCTGTGCTTGCTTGTGAGCCTACCGCCCGCTCAGTCGCAGACGACATCACTGTCAACAGAGACGGGATGTCTGTTAAGTGTTCCTTCTCTTGTTATCATAATTTTAAAAACTGAGCAATCACAAGCTCTCTGGGATAGTATCAACAAGGCCGACCGAAGAATGTGAGCTGAGACTGGCCGATCTGCAGGTCTGAGGTCTCAAAGGTAAGCGTAGGATCATCCCACTCATCAGGTTGAGATCATCTTGTTGAGCGTTACCGGAGAATATTAACTTCCCATGAAGCTCCGGGGTCGAAATTCGGGACTGTCTTTGATAATTTATGAGAGTCAGGCTACTCGAACGATGGAGCAATTGATCGTTTGGAGGATTAAATACCTGATCTTCCTCATCGTTTGAGGTTTCGGGAAAAGTATGGACCATTCCATCTCATTATTAAGTTATTCAGGATAGTCGAGAATGGTGTAGCTTTCCATAAGGTGTAAAGTGCATTGTCTTTCGCGAAGCTCTGCGTTTTGTTCGATCGACGTATACGTTGAAGTAGGTCCTCGATGGTCTGATGGTCGCGATCGAAGTACTCGGTACCCGTGCGAGAACCGACGACGTGCAGAATTGCTCGCTCCAAGCATGTTCACATGAACTCTTGTTAGGGCTAGTCATGAGCCGAGAAGGTTCAGGCAAAAGATATAGCTGAGATTGCCTTGCAACGAGACAAATCAGCGATACTTCCTTGGCTATTGAAGTTCAATAGTAAGCGTATAGTCCTTCTTCCATCGAGTTAACTGCCATGCCCCCAGTTTGCCACATACCTAATCTTCTGTTAATTCATTGTAATATCCGTCCTGAATATTGGCAGCGATGCAGTCGTTTTGAGATGCGAACGCGTGGCAGAGTTACTAGGTTCTTCAGTATATTAGAATCCAGTGTCATCCCCCAGAAAAGTACGAAGTACATACCAAACATGATTGATAGAGTATTTGAGTCATGGAATGACTGGCCATTTCATTACCAATAAGCGTTCTCTGAAGGATACCTTTCAGTCTCTGGGATTGGGTGTTTCGAAGATAAGCCCAGAGCTATGCCTTTGCGTCCACGGTCGCTTCGTGTACTGTGAGTTGTATTTGTGAGGTCTGAGGGTGTTCGTTTTTCGTAAGGTTAACGCGATGTGATGCAGCAATCATTTATCTTTGAGTAAATATTCAAGGCACTGTCGGGGACATTCTATCAGTTAATCCGAATCTAAATGCAACCGAACATTAGTTGATAGATGGAACTCCCGATTGATTGATTAATCCTTCGGAGTACAATATTTTCTTTGATAGAAGAAAAAGAGTTAAGTATTGTAACTTCTTTCACCCAGTGTTCTGTTCTTCGTTCAAAGTCCAAGGAGAAGGCCATACTGACTAGGATAGCTGTAGTGAGATAAAGAAAAACGATGGGTTGGGAAATTCTGTGAGCGCTTTCTCCTGCTCTGGTAAGACACGCTGCGAAGGATATTGTGTAGTATCCAGTGTAAAGTACTCGAGAAACTGGAGATTCCAAGTTGTTGTGGGATTCGAAGAGTTTAGTAGATCAACCGAAAGCGTTCCATCATACCCCCGTTGCCTGTATCACCGAACATTCACCTCACCATCGCCTGCAGGTGCGTATCTTTGATGCGGTTTCGATGATACTTCTGTGAGATGATAAGAAAGATTATCCCACTTTGTATAGTATTCTGTTTCCTTTTAGTATATTGACAGTAAGGTCCATCGGTGACAAGTTTGCTAGCACCAGAGACGCAATTTAGTAACAAAGGCCGATAGATAGACAACTGAGGTAAAAAAGATAGAGTCTCAGTGTTGTAGTAGCTGTGGGTCACTTTGGTTGCCCAGGCGAGTCGATAAGAGTTCATTTAGTTTTCAGGATGTTGGAAAGGCGAGCTAATGTACCAGTGAAGCGTTCGTTGGCATTTGAGCATCGGCGATTCGCTTGATCGGTATATGCCTCAGAGTGTCACAGAGTCTAGCAATCACATTAAGCAGTTCCCCTAGCTTATGGCGAATATCCATCTTGTAATGCATCTTGAGATATTACAGCCAACCTGTCCGCCAGTCGAGCGAGCTCAGAGGCAAGCAACCATAGCCGTGTATAGTCACTTTCAAACTTGTTCGACTGATTTCAGCAGAGGACGATGTTCTTAGAACTGTGGAGCACCTTTCTTATTTTCAGTCCTTGTCCGCTGACTTTGTTTGGAGCCATTTGAGTAATCTGAGCACCACCGGTTAGCGAAAGCTCTGTAGATAGGAGACCTTCGAAATAAACCCCAGTAGCGGGATTGATGAACTAAAGAATGAGATCTGGAGGATGTCTCTTCAACATACCGTACAATGCCATGGATATTACCCTGTTAATCTCTCTCTGTACGTCAGATGGAGAAATTAAAGCGTCGAGATTTATAGGCAGATATAGCGAGTCTCTCTTCGAATCTGAGTTGTATGGACCGGATAGAGTAAGACCTGTTGCAGAAGTCTCTCTATCATCCTCTGCTTTTGTTGCTTTCGGAGGACATCATAAATAGGCCCTCGAGCTTCTTCTTTTACCTTCGACCGAGCTTTCTGCTTGAATTCTCAACCGCGGATGTGTCAGAGCACAAGGCCTTGCACCAGATAATCGGTGGATTTGACCATCATCTGAGTATGATAGACCAGGTAATCGGTCGATAACAAAAGATATTATATAATAATAATAGAAGATTGCTATATCGTCTGATAATTAGATGATAGAGAGAAGAAGAAAAGGAGAGAGTTGGATGGAAGAGAACGGGGTTTATATAGCCCAGCAGAAAGCCAACAAGTGAACGCTCATATCTAAAGATTCCAAAGGATTCAATGTAAAGGGTGAACGAAAGGAGTGAACGGTAAGCAATATTTGAGTTAGTAGACATTTTTGAGGCACTCGTTGAATATCAAGATGCTCTCGTGCACTGGGATGCGTGCACTGAGATGCATTCAACGATTGGGCTTGATCAAGCCGCAGTTGCCCTAACTTCGGAAGTAGTGAACGGCGTGTAAGAATCAAAGCATTAGAAGAACAGGCTCAAAGGATTCTACTTCGAAAGACGAGCAGGTCATACACGATTATGACCGTCATTGCGATTTAGGGTTGCGAGATTGGATAACTGGACGGTGCCGGGTGACTATTTGTGAACCTGGAACGCCTGATAGAAGCACATAATGCTAGGCTGCTAATTACTCTTGAACATTGTGCTTTGCTTTGTGCTAGGTAATGTCTTGGCGTCAACGAGATTTCTACTCATATGTTCGAGGACCAGGCGAATTCTTCAAACAGAAATCCTACAGAAAGACTCACAGATCTTGCGGTTGATCAAAAAGCTTCATATTCTCTGCCGTAACGGCTATTGTACTCAAAGAATTCGGCCTATTGCCATAACACACGCCGAGTGAACGGGACCAAGGCCTCATGAAGGTTGCACCACGCACCCTAAATGGCTCAAAAGGCAGGTGCCTAGGCAAGTCCATTCAGACACAGTCCTTGGGGCATTGACGATCCTTGATTTTCGATGTTTGTAGCATCCTTTGACCTCCGGCTATCACAGAGCATATGGAACATTATTTACACCGATGGGATCGAAGCTGGTAGGAACGTCCTTCAAAGTAGAAACGACGGAGCAATGCTATTAATGAAGCCCCGGACATGATAGTACTCGTTGTGATTTAATAAGGTCGCTGAAGAGCGATGCTTAGGCAGCGGCACCATGAGAGATGCCCATAATGTGCAGACTTCGAGCATCTACAGTATGAGAATTGTCCTTACGTTGTCAGCATGGGCAGAGGTTTATGAAAAGACCGTTGTAGCTTCTTGTAGGTTCATGCTGAACTCTTAAGCGAGGTCAGTACTATCGGGAGAGCTGTATTGGGACTACTTACCGCAAGCGGATAGCTTCAAGCGTCCTGATTTAGGTAATGACCTACACGGATTGATACACAGTACTCCACGACAGCAACACCGTAGTCCGGTAATTATTCCCAAGATAAGGACAAGCATAAGCGAATGTCGAGAGCGATGAGGTGATTTGTGATAGTGGTGGTGGAAGTAGGGAGTTACGAGTAACGCGAGAAATAATACACACGGCAAGTGGGGTTTGCTTGATACAGATCGATACTTACTTTACCTTACCTTAGTTATCTGCACCTTCCGCTGCAGTTCGTTGCAACCCACGGGAAAGGTCCAGGGTCTGACAACAAAGTAAAAAGTACACAGTAGCATTCTGGAGGTGATTTGTCCCCTCTTTCCCCATCCATGAGACAACTGAGCCTCGGAGAAAGCTTTCTCATTTACCCTCGAGTAACCTCAATGATACACCAATCATAATGTACAGAAGCAGTCTGGACCCGACCTGCTTATGAATCGCGGAAGGAAAAGCTACTGTGGTGCCCCCCCCAAAGCTGGTTCGGGAAGGTGGAATACCGCAGCAAAACGTCATTCCGAAGAACCCCGCCAGGTGGGGGTTTTTTTGGTGAGCTTCCGATGGAGGGAAAGACCGACATTGGAAGCCCATCGAATCCACTGGGGAGCAACGAGCGAGGCACTCTGACTGATTCGGAGTCCGCTGCTGCTCCTGCTGCTGCTGCTGTTCTGTTGGGTCGCTCATTATTTACCCCTCGTTCTCTTCTTCCCTCTCCTCTTTCCCTCCCCATCATCCTCTCCAAAATCTTGAATTTACCCCTAGATCCAAGGTAATCCAATCTTCAAAAACCGTCAAAATGGTCAAGGCTGGTAGGTACCTGCACATTTCTTCAGCCCTTTTGGTTTTCCTATCCTGCTATTGGCCTTAACCCCCTCCACGGATCCACGATCGACCGTGGCCGGGGGACCTTGAGTGAGCAGATTTGAGCACCTTGCGATCCCTCCTGCACCTATCACGATCTGGGGACCCTGTTTGCCAGCCCAGCAAGCTCAGGGGGATTTGGTGACATCTGCCAGCTCATTCGTCCCCGTCAGCTGGAGCTTTGTTTTATCTTTCGTATTAATAGTACCACAATCAAAGTCTGGTTGATGTCCAGTGATCGCTGGATCTCGTGGTTCTGGAAGGTTTCCATCGATGAAAATCATGGGCTGACATCCATCTCTTAGTCGCTGTTATCCGTGGAGACTCCAAGGTCTCCGGCACTGTCACTTTCGAGCAGGCCAACGAGAACACACCCACCACCATCTCCTGGAACATCACTGGCCACGACGCCAACGCTGAGCGTGGCTTCCACGTCCACCAGTTCGGTGACAACACCAACGGCTGCACCTCCGCTGGCCCTCACTTCAACCCCTTCGGCAAGACCCACGGTGCTCCCGAGGACGACGAGCGTCACGTCGGTGACCTTGGCAACTTCAAGACCGATGCCGAGGGTAACGCCGTTGGCTCTAAGCAGGACAAGCTGGTGAAGCTCATCGGTGCCGAGAGCGTCCTGGGCGTACGTTTTCATCCCTGCCCTTCTTCCTGGCTGTTTCTGTAAAGATGCTAATGCAATGCATACAGCGGACCCTGGTCGTCCACGCTGGTACTGATGACCTCGGCCGTGGTGGCACCGAGGAGTCCAAGAAGACCGGTAACGCTGGTCCTCGTCCCGCCTGCGGTAAGCATGTCCCTACCAAGACACCCCTTCTCACTGAAATCAACATTGTTTACTGATCTCGTCTGTCACAGGTGTCATCGGCATTGCCGCTTAAGTGCCTAAATCAGTCTCCAAAGCTGTTCGACTAGGATGTGAAGAGCTAGAACAGAATGAATAGTCTGCTATTATCTCGTCGACAACAGGAATAAAATGAATGCACGAATGACTTGATGCCAACTGTTATGATAACCGGCATTTTTGCCAGACTGTATCGAAGCGCTGATTAGCTCCGCTGTGGGTAGTACAGAATGTAACCATTTTACTGGAAGTATTAGCTTTCTACTTTGACGTCCAAGTAGTACATGTCAAGATGCACAGTCTCATCATCGTCTCCTTTGTGGTTGTACTCGTTGCGGCCTAGGCTGATTCTAGCGCTTACAGCTACATACATGGTGTCACGGAACACATAGACTAGAGGCGAGCCAACAGACAAGCCCAAGTTTGATCAATTAGCACAGCGTTCGTCGCCAGAAACATCGAGTAGACAAGTCTTTATGCTGCAGCTCAATTGTGGTAGTTGGTGAAGCATCTTGTGGTGAAGTGGTTGGTGAAGTGGTGCTTCCTGCAGTGACGGAGCTCCAGGGAAGCTTGTAGTTCGGTAAATGTGGTCATGATAGAGTCACTAAATGAATGAAGATTCACTCTTCTGGATCACTGGGACTTGGCAAGTTGATTCCATGATGATATGCAGACAACAGTGCGGATAGTTGCAGGAGCGAAGCTCTGTCGAGGCCGGAGTCGAACTCCCCCACAAAAGTCAGGTGCTCGCCCGAGCGCGATTGGCCGCTCGGACTGCTGTACCTGGCCTCAATGGAAGTAGTCCGACTGTCTTCTTCTCCCTTTCCCCTATCATTCATTCGGTCTTTTTTTTCTTGTCCCCTTCTCATAATTCATTACTTACCTCCCTTTCTCTTTATTTGCTTCTGCCTCTTTAACCCCGTCTTGTCAATTTCTGGTCTCGCCTGTCGCTTGCCAGCATGCCTCTGGAAGCCCGCGTGAAATCTGTCCTGTCCGGCGACACGGTGGTGCTGTCGCATATCAACAACCCGGGCCAGGAACGTATCCTCAGTCTTGCATATGTCTCCGCGCCGAGGCTACGCAGAGAGGGAGATGAGGTGAGTTGGTTCTTTTCTGTGTTTTCAGATACAATGTCAATGCGCGGTGCAACCGTTTCTTGCTGCCTGGATAGGTGGCCTCTACATCGGGGACAATTGGCTGCATTCCATCCGAAATCTAACATTCTTGGCTGAGTTGGACTCGACCTTGGCCCGTTATAACTAGCACCGCTTGATTGATCTATCAATAACCTGCTAACTTCCGCTGTTTTCTTTCTGCAGCCGTACGGCTTCCATTCCCGAGAGTTTCTCCGCGAGCTCCTAGTCGGAAAAGTCGTACAATTTCAAATCCTGTACACCATCCCTACCGGTGCTAAGCGCGACTACGGTACAATCAAACTCCCGACCTTCGACGTCTCCCTCCCCGACATCAGCGTCCAGGAAGGATGGACTCGCGTCCGCGAAGAGGCTGGCAAGCGCAGCGACGAGTCTGAAGAGACTGTGGCGTACCTGCAACGACTCCGTGCATTGGAGGAGCATGCCCAGACGGAGGGCAAGGGAACATGGGCAGGCACAGAGAGTGGTCGCACAGAGACCACTTATGAGCTGTCTGACCCTAAGGCGCTGGTTGACGAATGGAAGGACAAGCACTTGGAAGGTATCGTCGAGAGGGTTCTGAACGGCGACCGCCTGATCGTCCGTTTGCTCCTCTCTTCGGAGGAACACCTGCAGGTTGTCGCTGCCATGGCGGGTGTTCGTGCCCCAGCAGCCAAGCGAGTGACGGCCGACGGCAAGGAACAGTCTGCAGAGCCGTATGGAGACGAAGCATTCCAGTTCGTCGAATCGAGGATTCTGCAGCGCAAGGTCCAGGTGAATCTTCTGGGCGTCACCCCTCAGGGTCAACTGATTGCTAGTGTTCTCCACCCGAACGGCAATGTTGCCAAGTTCCTGCTGGAAGCTGGTCTGGCTCGTTGCCACGATCATCACTCCGCCCTGCTTGGTACTGAGATGGCAGCTTTTCGCCGTGCGGAGAAAGTAGCCAAGGACGCCAGAGTGGGCATCTTCACTGGTCTAGTTGCTCCCAAGGGTCCTGCTGGCGGGGCCGAGGACTACGTCGTTGGCCGCGTGCTGAATGCAGACACGCTCTTTATTCGCAACAAGGCCGGTCAGGAGAAGAAGATCCAGCTCAGCAGTGTCAGGCAACCGAAGCCGTCTGATCCCAAGCAGGCTCCTTTTGCCGCCGATGCTAAGGAGTTTGTGCGCAAGAGAATCATTGGAAAGCACGTCAAGGTCACTATTAACGGCAAGAAGCCCGCTACGGAGGGATACGAGGAGAGGGAGGTTGCCACCGTTGTTCAAGGAAACACCAACATCGCTCTGGCCCTTGTCCAGGCGGGTTACGCTTCCGTCATCCGTCACCGCCAGGATGACGAGGACCGGTCTCCTGAGTATGACAACCTCATGCTTGCTGAAGCAGAGGCCCAGGCCGAAGGCAAGGGCATGTGGGCTGCCAAGCCCCCCAAGCCCAAGCAGTACCAGGATTACTCGGAAAGCGTTCAGAAGGCCAAGATGGAAGTTTCCATTCTCCAGCGCCAGAAGCGTGTGCCGGCTATTGTCGACTTTGTCAAGTCGGGATCTCGGTTCACCGTTCTGGTTCCTCGTGAGAACGCCAAGTTGACTCTTGTCTTGTCGGGTATCCGCGCTCCCCGGTCTGCCCGTAACCCCGGTGAGGCATCCGAGCCTTGCGGCCAGGAGGCTCACGATCTTGCGAACAAGCGCTGCATGCAGCGTGATGTTGAGATCGACGTGGAGACCATTGACAAGGTCGGTGGATTCATTGGTACTCTGTATGTGAACAAGGAGAACTTCACCAAGGTCCTCCTTGAGGAGGGACTTGCTACTGTCCACGCTTACTCTGCTGAGCAGTCTGGTCACGCTACTGAATACTTTGCTGCGGAGCAAAGGGCTAAGGAGGCCCGCAAGGGTCTCTGGCATGACTGGGACCCTAGCAAGGACATCGTTGAAGATGAGGAGGAGCCTGCCAACAGCAACAACAACACTGACACCGAGGTTGCCCAGCGTCGCAAGGACTACCGCGATGTGATGGTCACCTATGTCGACCCTACTACTGGCCGCGTTAAGGTCCAGCAGATTGGCACAGGCACCTCTGCCTTGACGGAGTTGATGAGTGCTTTCCGTTCGTTCCACCTCAACAAGGCCAACGACACTCCGCTCCCTGGACCTCCCAAGGCGGGCGACTTCGTTGCCGCCAAGTTCACCGAGGACAACGAGTGGTACCGCGCTAAGGTCCGTCGCAATGACCGTGAAAACCAGCAGGCTGAGGTTGTTTACATTGACTTCGGTAACTCGGAGGTCCTGCCCTGGTCCCGTCTCCGGCCCTTGAGCCAGCCGCAGTTCTCCGTTCAGAAGCTTCGCGCCCAGGCGGCTGATGCGGTGCTCTCCTTTGTCCAGTTCCCTGGTGCCGAAGATTACCTGCAAGATGCAGTCAGCTTCCTCGAAGACCAAGTTTACAACCGTGAGCTTGTTGCCAACGTCGACTACGTGTCTCCAGACGGAACCCTGCACGTCACCTTGCTGGACCCTACCGAGTCCAAGAACCTGGATCACAGTATCAATGCCGACATTGTTCGTGAGGGTTTGGCCATGGTGCCCAGGAAGCTGAAGGCCTGGGAGCGGGCCGCTACTGAGACAGTGTCCCACCTCCGCAGCGTAGAAGAGGAGGCGAAGCAGGAACGACGGGGTATGTGGGAGTATGGCGACCTGACCGAGGACTAAATATTACACTCATAGTGTTGTGTTTTGGAGTGGTGGAAGAAGATGTCTGTACAATTATCCACATGGCGCTTTATGTCGATTCCCATGAGCGACGGAATTAGTGGCTTTGGGCATTCTTACATTGGCAGCTTTTAAGAGCTGTGCTACATTAGTCTAGGATTTCTCAAATATGTTTTCTGAATAAGGATACCAAAAGTTGGATCTTTGGCAACCTTCCTTTTTTCTTGTGCTCTGCATAACTCCATGCATAGATGACATAAGCGGATGTTATCTCCGCGACTGTCCGATGCGGCGAATTGCCTTTCCCGACTTCGCAGCGTCAGCCCAATTTTCTTGTCCTTTATGCCATATCCCCGCCATTCCCCTCGTGTTTGCGGCTTTCGCTCATTGTTGGACTATTTGTGATTAGGATTCGACGTAGCCGGCGCCTGCTCAACTTGAAACAAGGCCTCGTGACGGGCTTGAAACATAAGACTATAACCGACTTCCGCCGACGCCGAGCTCAGCTCTTCCAAGGACCCGCTTCATCTTCAATACTTCCTCCTTTGCAATCGCCCAATCCAAAGCATACCCAGTCTCCTCAATCCAGCACAATGCCTTTCTGGGGAACGAAATCCTCTCAGCCTGCGGCGGAGAGCGATGCCAAATCTACGCAAGATGCGACCGATCCTATCAACGATCCCGTTGCGTCGGCCTCGCAGGCGGCTGGCACGGCGTGGCTCGCTGGCCATCTCCACCACCTGACTGATGACCAGGAGAAGAAGCTGGAAGACTTCAAGAAACTGTGTGAGGAGAAGGGTTACTACAAGCCGGAACGGGATGGAGAGAAGGCCAGCCATGATGATGCGACGATGCTGTATGTTCATTTCGCGCTTCCCTCACATAGACCTCGCCACGCTCGATGAACACGCATTGGAGAGGAGCTAACGAATATTACTTTAGGCGCTTCCTTCGCGCGCGCAAGTTCGACGTTGACGGCGCTTGGGGCCAGTTTAAGGACACCGAGGAGTGGCGCCGGGATAATGCCATTGAGTCGCTCTACGAGAACATTGATGTGGACTCCTACGATGCTGCCCGGCGAATGGTTCGTGAGCTGATCTATATGTGTATGGCAGTGGTCGCTAATATGTTCCTGTCTAGTATCCCCAATGGACCGGTCGTCGAGACCGCCGCGGTATTCCCGTCTACGTTTTTGAGATCAAGCATCTAAACAGCAAGAACATGGCTGCATACAACGAGACCATGTCCTCTTCAACCACCGCCGAAACGCACCAGTCCTCCACGGTCCCGCAGCGTCTTCTGCGTCTGTTTGCTCTCTACGAGAACCTCCTCAACTTCGTCATGCCTCTGTGCTCGAAGCTTCCTCGGCCTAACCCCGAAACTCCCATTGTCACCTCTACCAACATCGTGGATGTTAGTGGCGTTGGGCTCAAGCAATTCTGGAACCTGAAGGGGCACATGCAGGATGCTAGTGTTTTGGCTACTGCTCACTACCCGGAAACCTTGGACCGAATCTTTGTGAGTCCACCGCCTCTCTTCACTCGGTGATGTACCCGGCTAACCAGCTATCCTCGAAGATCATCGGTGCTCCTTCTTTCTTCCCTACAGTCTGGGGTTGGATTAAGCGCTGGTTTGACCCTGGAACCACTTCGAAGATTTTCATCCTCTCCGCCGCTGAAGTAAAGCCCACCCTGACAGCCTTCATGGATCCGTCCAGCATCCCCAAGCAGTACGGTGGCGACTTGGACTGGCAGTGGGGCGACATGCCTTATCTCGACGAGGAGGCCCGCAAGGTCGTCGGGGTCCTGGAAACTCCTCCTGCCGAGGGTGAGACCAAGCCCGACTTCATCAAGGGCCCAGTTCTGTTCAAGGACGACCACGTCGAAGTCCTCGGAAAAGTGAACGGCGAGAGCCGCAAGTCCAACATCCCTGTTGGCGCAACTCCAGCTCAATCAAACAACAACGCCTCCCCAGCGCAGGCTGAAAAGCCCACTGAGCAGGAGCAGACCAGCGAGAACGAGAAAGTCCCCCTGCAAGAACCGGCTCCCACATCGGAGACTGAGACACAACCAGTGACTGCATAAGTCATACGTTTCCAATCTCTTTCGAGCACACTTTTCATTGATGTTTACTTCCCTTTCTTCGTCGAAGGTACTACTAATAGAACCCAACGCACGGCGCCAGCGGTTATCTCATTACCCTCTTCTCCTGCAACCTACTCAACCGTTCTAGATAATATACCACTTTCCTACCATTGGTTTCTCTCTCACATCTTGTATTGTCCTTTCCGGGCTTGACCAAGCATCATCATTGTCTTATATACTACTTTTCTTTTTCCATGATATTGTCATTTTCAGGATCTGTCATAGGTGTGACTTGGGTGTGTGCGCAGCAACCGTCATCATCATAGAAAGATGCATCTTTTTTCGGGTTATATTTAGATAATCATTTTCATTTTCATACTTCTCCTAAGTCCCTACTGGTTGGCTTACTTCTTCACTGTATTGATCCGAGCCTTTCTGAAGTATTAGGGAGTTGCGTCGCATTGGTACACATTGAGGTGAGCTTGGGTTTGGTTTGCGGGTTATATACTACTATATAAGGCAATCCTCCCTGGGAAAATTCTCGATCTTAGTACCTTAGTAGTACTAATTCATCTCGAAATATTGGTGTAAGAACTTGAAGGCAGTACTATTTCAAATTAGGATACTACGTCGTATATGTTAATGTTTTGAACTCCCATTCCTCCCACGAGGGAATCGAGACATGAGACCATTGCAGTTACTACTGGTTTTCAATAGTAGGGTTAGAAATACTATAACTGTATGTATGTTATATTACGTCTTTACATCGTATCATATATCTAAGATAAATAGTAGTAGTAGGTAAAGGCGGATAGGTAGGTGAGCAGCTTCATCTACTACCACCCCAATCCAATCCTATCCCATCCTAACGTTTCGCTATAGTACATCAATCACAACGCAACTAAACTAAACCAAAGTAGTGTTTATGTAGACTTCCAGATCATATTGATCTGTTTTCTCTTGACCTGTTCAACGATATCTCAGTTAGCCAGCTGTTTACTAATCATGGAATACAAATAATAATGGGTAAGGTGAGGGATGAAACATACCATTGGAGCCAGAACAATCACACCAGCCGTCAACGCCACAATAGTCAAGACTAGTTGCAACTTGGAGAAACCCTTGCCCAGGACATCGAATGCCTGGCTGGGAGTTGCCCGTGTAGCGAAGATATCGCCGCCAAAGGCGAAGATCAGGCTAGTACTTTCGAGCAGCGTCGGGGCGGAAAGGACGCTCTTGATACCTGCGACGTCCCGGGAATGCGTGTGGTACCATTTGCCATCGAATTCGAGGAAGGGGTTGTACTTGAAGAGACCCTCTTCGGCTTCGGTGGAGGTGGGGTCCCGGCCGACAGGACGGCGGGGGTCAAGGACGGGACGGGGAATGCCGATGATGGCGTTGGAGGAGGGGAGAGTGCAGAGGAGTTGGCGAGTGGTGATGCCCTGGCGGGTCTGAGTGACGGCCATGTGAGAGATGGGTTCCGGGATGATGAAGGCTTGCGAAATCACGTGGGGCAGAGGGAGGTCACTGATGCTAGAGTAGTTGGAGGCTGCGTCCAGCGGGCCGCGGTCATTGGGAACGGGGGACTCGTATAGCTCGGAGATCACCAGTTGGTAGCCCTTGGCGCTGGAAGAGTCGACAGCGTCTGCCCAGAAGGAGTAGGCGAACCAGTTCTCGGAGACAACGGAGGAAATGGGCTGTGTGGGGTCGACTCCTTGGTGAGTGCTGGAGTGGAGGATCTTTCCGGAGATGGCATCAAGAAGATAGAAGGTAGCAGAGCTCTCACCCACGGCGGTGATGAGGGCGAGGTTGGAGTTTAGATACTTGTAGAGAACAGACCGGTTGCCCAGGACTTTACCGATAGAGGCAACAGGATCGTGGGCGGGCCGCGCGGTGGCGTGGATAATCTTCTCGCCTGAGGTGGGCAGGAACTGCCAGACAGGGTGCTTGTTATCGCGAGCAGCCCATCCGAGGACACGGCCATCATCGCTAAGCGTTATGAAGAAACCCGGGCCATCAATAGACTCCAAGGGTGTACCATTTTCCTTAATGCCGACGGTACGGGGAGCGGTGCCATCGTGGGCGACGGCAACCGAGCGGATCTTTGCAGTGCCGGGGTTGCGCGCCAGAATCTCGCCAGACGAGGCATCCAGAGTGACAGAACTGCCATCATCGACATACACCGTAGCAGTGCCAGGATGGGTCAGAATAGCCTTCACATTCCACGAGTCCGCTTCCGCAGCCTTGACCTTCCAAGACACGGCGCCGTGCTTGGCGGCATCAAGGGCGTAGACTCTTCCGTTCTCTGTGGCCACAATAACAGACCTGACAATACCGAAACTATCGAGGTTGGAGACCTCATCGGTCAAGATACTGGTCAAAATGCGCTTGGGCAGCCCCTTCAGCCACTCGGGAAGATGCTGAAGGTCTCTGGCGTGACGCTTAACGCGGTGCACGTAGGCCCCGTAAACACTTTCGTGACCCTCAACTTCCAGTTGATGGGCCAAATCCTCCTGAACGGCCTCCTGGACCCAAGTAGCGGCCAGAGCACCCGACAGAGCTTCATATCTAGTCCATTCGGTCTGGCCATTGCGAATCAATTGCCAGTCGCCAGATTCCAAGGCAGCGGCCGTCCGAACAGCAACGCTCTTATCCTTGGCAACGACCTCCGATACAGAATGCAAAGCTTGCTCCATAGGGGGAGCTTGGTGGACCCATCTTCCCAATACTCCGTGAGAGACAGAAGAAACGACAGTGGTCTCAGACTGAGTGATGCGGGTGAAGTAGACGTTGGCATCCTTGTTGCTCGTCGAGAAAACGGACCATCCCTGCAAGCGAGGAAGTTCGTAGGCCTTGTTTACCGAAGCGGACTTCAAGTCGACGTGATAAACTTCCGCCCAAGTGGTAGACTCCGTCTCGTAGTGCACCAGGAAATGCGGCAGCGATTCGAGCTTCTTGGAAGCATGAACCGTGATGGAGCTGACACTCTCACCACTTGTATTTTCAATATCGAACGAGTGTACCTGCTTCGTACCGATGACGTTGACCTTGAGCGTTTTGAATGACTGATCCGCCCAAACAATCATGGGTGCGGCAGTGTTCGCACCGACGAAGAGGACGGAGTTGGTGCTAGACAAGTCGCTTTCCGAGCTCAGAATATGCTGTCGAGTTTGGCGACCGGTCAAGGGATCCAAAGAAGTAACCTTGATTCTGTATCCTTTCCGGGAGGAGGGCTGCAGAGCGACGTAGAAGACCTCGGTGGCCGATGACGACAATTGGAGGGGAACATCGCCGCTACCGGGAAGTGTTAGCGATGGAAGCTCCAACAGAAGTCAGTTTCAAGTATAATCGTACCTTTCGTCCAAGTGCTCCCATTTCGTCCGACCCGAATCTCCATCCAGCCTTCGGACAACGCCAGCCTTTCCGCTCCAAAGCGCCACAGTGTCTTTGGTCGACGGAGCCGCACTGGCATCCTCCAGCTCCAAAAGCTCGAGATCGGCGAGCACTTCGCCCTCAAACCAGTTTTCCCAGATCAATTTTCCATCCAGAGCAGTCCACGAAGAAATGTAATCGCCTAGCGCGCTGACCAGGGCGTTTGTGCCTTCGGAGGCGCGGAGAAGACCATGGGGATTGCTTTCAGCAGCGGGCAGATCAGATCGCGAGAGGTTCTGTCTCCAGACAAGGGAGCCGTCCCTAGGATTCACAGCACCGAGCAGCGACTTCTCCGAGAGAGTGTAGAGTAAGGAGGCATTGGAGGAAGCGGACGGTTTGAGGAAGAAGGTCGATTGGGAAGTGGGAAAGCCGAGCAGCGCGTGATGGTAGTCGACATGGTTGACCTCGTCCCGGTAGATGGCCAGGGACGAGGGAACGCACGAGGCGAGCAAGAGAAGCGTCGCCTGTAGCCACATGGTTAGGACTGATGTTTCCGGTCGGGCATTGGAGGGCGACAGAGGAGAGAGGTAGCTGGGACGAGATGGTGGCCGACTAACGATAAGCTGCGGATCATCGATGACGGGCGGTGATGTATCATCGGGCAGAATCCCTTTTCCCCCGGTTTGTCTCCACTACAGCTTCAGCTTCTTACTCGATTTCACTTCTACCAATTCCTCATTACCAAGAACAGCTTTTACGACAATTTACTGATGGGTGCAGTTGTGACTGAAATTGACGTGGCTATGTGTCAAGCAATTGAAGTGAATCACATGTCCTCTCCCTAAAATTGATCGTTGTTTACGAGAAGGGTCCTTCATACTGCTGCCAGAACGGTGATATAGTCTGAATTCATATACATTTTGATGCTATTCTATGTACAAATACAATCTGGCGAATTGAAGTAATGCTCATCATATCCAAGAATCTCATGCTTGCCCGAAGCAGGTCTTGTTGGCAGCTCTGACAACCGCCTTCTCTCCCTCAGTCATGTCGTCGGTAATTTCCCATGGCTGACTTCCCATACCCATGGCGCGCAGGCCCTCTGCATCAAGCGAGCTCCAGTCAAGTGCTCCCTGGAAACCGATCTCACCGGGTCCACCAGCGCCTGGGAAATCCCAAGGCGGGGAGTAAGCAAGCGCAGCCTGGCGCTGCTTGAGCAGGTAGTTCACGTTCATCTCGCACATAGGCGTGGCAGGGATGTAGAGAACGCTAGAGTCTCCCTTGCCGCGATGTTCCTTATCGACGGAGTGCAAGGAATCGCAATGCCAGGCAACGTAGTCACCGGGATCCACCTCGGGGACGGACACCATGGTGGTTGCCAGGTCCAGGTGAGGATGCGTGACGGGGTTGTATTCCTGGCATGTTCCGGGTACGGCACCAGGGAATGTGTTATCCAGCACCGGCTGCGAGGAGACTGGGTCGAAGAAAGGTCGGAGGATAGTGTAAGCGGTACTCTGAATGACCATGGGGCAAACATGCAGTGAGCCTTCGCCGGGAGCTGTGTTGGACATGGACAGCCATCCCTGGAAGAATCTCAGCATGGAGCAGGAACCAGCGCCGTTGTACAAGTCCATGTTGGCCGAGACACGGTGCTTGGCGTCCCATGGGTCGTATTCTTCCCATTTGCCCTCCAGAATTTTGGAGTAGACTCGGGAGTATTCAGGATCCTCCCAGCGCTCCAATGATCCACCGTCAATATGAGGGCCGAGGGTGAATTTTGCGTCGCCGGGTTGCCTGATGCGGAGTCTGTCTGCGTAGGTCAAAGGATTCCGAGTCGAGATCGGAGTGTCGGGATCGGACGAGTGCCAGAGACGCTGCAGGAATCGCTGAGTACCGAGCATGCTCGGATGTGCTCGGGCCTCTGCTTGGGATGGAGTCCAATACAGCTCATAGACTGCTGGGGAGTCGGGAGGGAAGGCCTTCACGCGCTCTTGGTTGGCAGCAGCATAGTCCTTGATCCTCTCCTTCCAGTCGAGGGCTTTCTCTCGCGGCACCACGTTCCTAATGACCACGGAACCTCTGTGACGGATCTCCGCAAGAAGATGGTCTGGAACGGTGCCATTGACGACATCTGAGTATTGCACCGATGGGATAATCTGGACATTAAATTAGTGACACTCACTTATACATATAGAAGATGCCATGGGAACTTACATCGCTTCCTTTGGTCTTGATCTTGTGCACTTCCTCTTCCAAGCTGGGAAGGAGTCGCTCCCAACTGTCCTTCAGAGCCTTTTCATTCTTTTCAAAGTATTTCAGCTTCAGATCCCTGAACCGCGGGGGTAGTGGCTCTGGCTTGTAGTCTGGTCTCAAACTGGGGAAGACGCTGGAGATATCGCCCGCAGCCTTGGTCATCGTCGACGCTGAAGTCGACGTGGACGCGGCGCGGGCGGCCGTTTTTGAAAGAAATTTAGACATAGACATGATATCTATCCTTCCAATAGGTACTTGAAATCTGGATATTTCTGATCACTGGCAGACAGGACCTCTTGCGACTGATATACCTGCAGCTGGGGCGGATTATTGTCGGAAACCCATATTCAGCAGTCGGCCCGAGTACTTGATACGGAAGGTCCCCGCCTCCCCCGCAAAAAACGGTAACAAGAAAATGCGGGAATGTTGCTCTTTGCGGGATCCACATTGCCCCGGAATGAACTATTGCCTTCATTTCAGGTTGTCTCATAGGTATTTCAGAGGCGAAAAATTGAAGGAAGCTGGGATTTATCAGGTCATGGCTCGGGGCTACAGTTCAGACTAGCCATCGTACTTACCGATAGGCAATTGATACGAAGGCACCCTCCATAGCAGGCCCGCTGCAACCGCCCTTGCACGTCCTGCACAGAAAGCAGTGGATCAGGTCTCGCTGCCAATGACTTCAAGCGAGCTGATCGGCACTTTCACCGAGGGGAGCACCCCGAGAGGCAGCGGTCAGATAGGAGATGATGACTTGTCCTCGGTCTTCTTCCGGGTTTCTACCACCTTTAGGGCTCTCGTCCTCGGTCTAGTGATACAGCGACATGCCCATGGGGTAGGCCTGGGTCCCGTATCGAACCCCTCCGGAACAGTTATAAAGTAGCACAGGGCCACTCGGCAGAAAAGAAAAGCCACTTAACCACCAAACCACACTCCCCATTGCAGCTCCCTGGGCCTCACTCCCGCTTTAGAATGTCCTTCGCCGTTCAAGGCCGAGCTGCTATCGTAACGGGGGCAGGTTCAGGTTCGTCACGCATGGTATTCAGCCGATAAGCAAACCTCACTCTAAGCTGTAATTGTAGGGATTAACCTGTCCTTCGCCAAATCTCTCCTCGAGCATGGATGCAATGTCCTGTTCGCCGATCTAGCTCTACGTCCAGAGGCAAAGACGCTAGTGGATCAATACTCAGCGAAGGGGAAGACGCCACGAGCCGTCTTCCAGCGGACCGACGTGACCGATTGGCAACAGCTCGAGCACATGTTCGAGGTAGCAGAGCAGGAATTCGGAGAGCTCGATATTGTGTGTCCTGGCGCAGGCATCTTTGAACCGGTATAGTTTCCCTACCCACTGATACCAGTGTTATGCATCACGCAAGGGGTAGTATACTGCAGGCACGTTCAGTTGCTCACGCCCGATTTTACCTCACAGCACTGGACCAACTTCTGGCGTCCTCCGGGAACCCCTGAAAGCCGTGACCCGCGGTATGGAGGCCGCTATGCCCTCCTCGATATCAATCTCACGCATCCGATTCGTACGACACAGCTAGCCATTGCCCATTTTCTACGCCATGGGAACAAGCAGCGACGCAAACACATCGTTCACATCTCCAGTATTGCCGGCCAGAACCCCAACTTCATCGCCCCGATCTATGTTGCCACGAAACACGGCATCAATGGTTTGGTACGATCGTTGGCTGGCCTGGACCAGGAGTGCGGAATCCGTATCACAGCTGTTGCGCCGGGGGTTATCAAGACGCCGTTGTGGACAGACCATCCTGAAAAGCTCAAGGTAGTGAATGAAGGGGCGGATGCATGGGTAACTCCAGAAGAAGTAGCAGAGGTCATGCTGGCGCTTATCCAACAGGATAAGGTGAGCGGTATCATTGGGGATCAGAGTGGTCGTGGTCCCCAGTACCCAGTCAGTGGTGGAACTATCCTGGAGGTCTCCAAGACAGTTCGGGCAGTAGAGCCTTTCAATGATGCTGGGCCTGGAGATCGTCCAGGAAATACGGTCTCCGATAACAGTGCAGTGATTAACGAGACACTTGGTCTGCTGTCGCAGCCTGGATGGGGAGTGCCCAAGTTGTAGATAGGTGGATGGGATAGAGCATATAGTAATACTATTCATGATGTTAATACATGTCTGGCAAGCACAAAAGATATGGATATGCTTACTCCATTAGTTAACTACGTAGTTACGGTGTGACTAGTTTGGGTGATTCAGGTGAGATTCAGCCAAATATGGAAACTCTTTCCAGTCTCATCCTGTCGCCAGCTACGAAGCTAATATTACGTATTACTGGGTCAAGGCAGGCTGGCACTCCGCAGATTGCGCGAGGGCACTAAGGAATGGTGTATGACCTGTGCTTCAGGCTGGAGTAGTACTCCACTCACTGTCTCAGTTAAGTACATGACCTGGCTTACTGTCCTTACCACAGCAGCAATTCTGTAATCATTTAAGCAACAAAACAATGCTTCAGTACCAGCCTTCTTCTCAACTTAATTATGGGCTTCTGATAACATCGCATGATACTACCAAGTAGACAACTAGTAGACAATAGGAAGGTAGTACCTAGTCGTGACAATCTGGGGAAAAAGAAGTGAAGCCACCAATGGCGGAGGGCGATAAAGGGACTGACTAACCAAGACTCTCCACCGCCTCCGCTCCTTCGGCGGCATTTGGATTGCGCTGTTCATTCCCTTTCTTTCCTTCTTCTTATCTCCGGATGTCTTTCCCTTCTCCAACCCCTCTTTTTTCTTAATTTCTCCTTTAATTCTTCCTCTCCAACTAACTTCTTCGCTGATTTTGATTTCCGTTCCTTACCGTCTTCCGAGCACATCTCCCGCTGCACCGCTGGTTCCAGTGAACTTCAACCGACTATGGTTGGTTGATCACCCGCAATCTTTTGTCGTGTGGCCACCTTCAATCCTTATCTACCGCCTCCAAAAGAACTACTCCTACCACCTCCTCAACACAACTCGACTCTTCCTCCCACTTACTTCCTCACGATGATGGACGACGAAGCTTCCGTCGGGATTGGCTCCCCTCGAGCCGGTTCTCGAAGGTAACCTATAACACCTCCAATTAGGAGTACTTCCCCTGCTCTCAAGCCTTATCGCTAACAGGTACCCATCGGTCGCAGACACGGCGGCAAAGGGAAACGAAGCATCGGACATCATGGCGACGCCAGTTGGGTCAGCTGTGTGATCAACTTGGTCAACACAAGTAAGTCGGGCTGGAAATCACATACCTTTACTCCGCAATCGTTACTGACTCATGCTCTGTCCCTGCCTGTTAGTTATCGGTGCCGGTGTTATGGCCATGCCGCTGGCCATCTCTCACATGGGAATCGTCCTGGGTGTCTTTGTGATTCTGTGGTCAGGAATGACCGCGGGTTTCGGTCTATATCTCCAGTCTCTATGTGCTCGATATCTCGAACGAGGCACTGCATCCTTCTTTGCCTTATCCCAGATCACCTATCCTAATATCGCTGTCATCTTCGATGCCGCCATCGCGGTCAAATGCTTCGGAGTTGGTATCAGCTACCTCATCATCATTGGCGATCTGATGCCGGGCGTGGTTCAAGGATTCGTTGGAGGTGCTCCCGACTATGACTTTTTGGTGGACCGGCATTTCTGGGTAACAGCCTTCATGTACGCTAACTACGGCATTGAGTGCGTCGGACAGTGCTAACTAGTTTCAGGCTGATCGTTATCCCTCTCTCATACCTCCGTCGCTTGGATTCGCTCAAATACACAAGTATTGCAGCTCTAGTCTCGATGGCCTATTTGGTGGTTTTGGTCGTATACCACTTTGTGAAAGGGGACACCATGGAGGACCGTGGTCCGGTTCGAGTGATTCACTGGGCAGGCCCTGTGCCTACCCTCAGCAGTCTGCCTGTGATTGTTTTCGCGTTTACATGCCATCAGAACGTATGTTCCGAGACCCACAACCCAAACTCTTCACTTCTATGGTTCATTGCTCTGACGTGTGCACCCCAGATGTTCTCAATTTTGAACGAGATCGGCAACAACAGCCATTTCCGAACCACCGGTGTTGTCCTGGCCAGTATCGGTAGTTCTGCCGCCACATACATTCTTGTCGCTATCACTGGGTACCTCTCCTTTGGAAACAGTGTCGGCGGAAATATCGTGAGCATGTACCCACCGGGTCTTTGGGCTACGATTGGCCGCGCTGCTATCGTCATGCTTGTCATGTTCTCGTATCCTCTTCAGTGCCACCCGTGCCGGGCCTCCGTTGACGCAGTGCTGCGCTGGAGGCCCAAGTCCTCGTCCAATAGCGACACCTCCCCTCATCGGAACCCCCTCCTGGGACAGAGGGGCGGCCGAACTGCGGAGCCGATGAGTGACCTCCGATTCTCGATCATTACGACTACCATCCTTGTACTGAGCTACATTGTGGCCATGACTGTGTCTTCTTTAGAGGCCGTTCTTGCCTATGTCGGCAGCACAGGAAGCACCAGTATCAGCTTTATCCTCCCCGGATTGTTCTACTACAAGATTTCCTCTCCCGATTCGCCCCACCACCAGCGACTGATGAAAGAGGACGACGAAGCAGCGGAAGGTATGCTATCCGACGATAGCAACGATGAAGATGGAGAAGAGAGCGTGCAGGCACGCCCCCTAACCGACAGCGGCATCCTCCGCCGAGGAAAACGCCACTGGCGCCGAACCCTTCTACGAAAGTTAAGTTTGGCACTCGTAGTATACGGGGTGGTGGTTATGGTCGTATGCCTGATCACGAACTCTGTTTTCATTGCTTCTCACTAGACGGGTTTTGGTTTGGTTTTGGATGCGGGGGAAGTGAAAAGATCTGGATGCGTTCCATTTCCGTCCATTAGCTTTCTGGCCCTCGTGTGAGGTGACCTTTTCCGCTTTCCTACTAAATTTAGACACTCCCTACCAACTTTCTTTTCTTAGGTTTATTTCTTCGTTTCTTGCATCTATTGGTTTCCTTTCGGGTTTGCGATCTAGATCTGGGCTCTCTTCGTCCAACGGTTACAATGTTGGGGTTTATGCACGCTATACCATTGCACCGGCGTTGGGGTTCGTGTTTGGTCCGGTTTAGATTAAAGTCTTAAACCTTGAAATACATTTTTCAATTTAATGATGCCTTTACTCCCTTACCTTTCCATCTCTCTTGCTAGGTAGCTTGTCTTGGCTCTGTAAAGTTATCTTCTCTGTGAATCTGGTTCCTTGCTTTCCATAGATAGATACTCCGGTTCAGATAAACACAGAACTTATTGAAGTATATCTACTACCCATCAAGTACTACTAACCATCTACCAAACACTACTACAATCACGGGAGTATTATCACACAGAGGCCATTGCAACTATAGAATGGATGTTAATAAACAGGCTTGTCTGAACGAGTGGAAAGAAGTAAACAGAGAACAACGCGACTAAAGCTAACGGATGAGTACAATATCATTAGGCAATACAAGCAAGTCAGGCGAGGTAATTTATCACCGCATAGAACATAGAAGAGAGTCCAGTCCATCTCACGGTCACTCACTGCGTTTCCTCAACCACCGCCACCTGTAAGTAGCACAATCTGTATCAATCCACTCCAACCCCACTACCACCTTTCCTCCATCGCCCATCAAAACAAACAACCAGGTTATGATGGACCTAGTTGTTATTCTGACTATTCAGAATCCTCAAAATCGCCAAAAACAAATTCAAGATATCCAAATACAGCGAAATGCTCGCGGCAATCTCCTCCTCAACATGATAATGTCTCATCACCAACTGCGTATCAACAAGAATATACGCCGAGAAAATCAGCGCCGCAAGGCCCCCATAAATCAGCTCGACGGTGCTATTCGCAGGGAAAAACACAGCCACGAAGCCAAACAAAATCAGGAACCACAGACCACCGAAGAGGTAGGGCATCCAGTTAGTAAAGTCGTACTTGGTCTGGCAGGCGAAGAGGGTGAGAGCGACGAAGAGACCGAGGGTGAGGATGAGGGCTTGGATGACGAGCCGGGCATCATAGAAGGAGGTCACGACGCTGATGGAGTAGGCTTCGAGGAGGGTGAATCCGGATAGGAAGAGGAGATTGGCCGGATAGGATTTGCGCTTCCAGTAGGTGACGAGCATGAAGCCTAGGGCGCCGAAGACGGAGACCATCATGAGCCAGAAGTTGGATTGGATCCAGAGGCGGTAGCTGGGGGAGAAGAAGGAGATGGAGCTGAGGATCGTGGTGAGGAGGAGTTGGGCCGTTCTGTTTGTGATTACTCTCTTGTCAGTTTTTTCTGATGCTATTCTCGATTATTGCTTTCTCGGGGTGGATGTGGTGGTAGTGGTGCTTACAAGATGGAATAGACCTTCCGGATGAACTGCATACGAATGGGCAAGGTGCCCTCCGCGACGGTGCCGCCGAACTAATCAAACACATTTGTTAGTTGTTTTGGTTCCTCCCAGATGATGCAAGCTTCTTTGTTGAGAGTGGTGGTGTAAGTACCTTGAAATCGTCAGGAACATTGTCGTCCTCGCTGCGTGGCGCTGCTTGCGAGTAGTCGGCCGTTGCCTGATAAGACGGCGGGGGTTGAGGATAGGCGCGCTCCTCGAAGGAGTCGCGCTGCGGAGCAGGCTCGTATCTGGTGTTAGCTGCCATTTGCAACTGCGATGAGTTTCAGTTGTCTCTGACGCTGTCAGACTAATAGTATGGATGGAATGAGTTGATGGGACAGCCTGTCATATTAGATAGTAGGATAGACTAATCGGGGAAAGGAAGGAGAGGAGAGAGAGGGCCGAGAACCGCTGCGGCGCCGCGGCTCAACGGCGCTCCGGGGCAGGTGACGTCGGTGGTGTCACCTGATGGTGTTATTGCCTGAGGCAGATATTTACTATCGCCATCTAGTATGTTCTAGTAGTATGCATGAGATTCACCACGTTTACACCATCAATTTGGTCTATACTACATGATATGTGAGTGGTTGATTACGGAAGAAGCTTTTAGGCTCGAAGTATTCCTATTAATGCTCCATTAACTCCAATCATATGCCTCTATTATGTTAGTATGTATCATATCTATCGTAATAAGTATATATATGCCATCAAAAAGAAATCGTAAAGCAAGTTGTCACCCATTAGTCACCGTCTGCTTTCCCTTTAGTTTCGCTCCTCGTGAAACGGAAGCTCTTCCATTATCACATCATCATCCAAGGACGCTCTGCCATCGTGGTATTCATCATCAGTGGAGTCATCCGGGGTATCCTCTGAGCCACGGAGTGGCTGATCGCCTGGATCTTGGCCCGGACGCTTCTTCCGCTGGAAGTCCTGTGCATGCGCCGAAGCCAGCAATGAGCCGACACGGGAGAGGCCGCGATTGCGGAGCGACATGCCTGGAGTGGACGGGGTGCCGTGCTCCACATCGTGTGCTTGCGGTTGCTGCTCTTCCAGGGGCACACCATCTGCTTGTTGGTCAACCTGCGCTGGCGGGAGGGAGACCTGGTATGGCAAAGGCACATCCCTGGACGCCCGGAACAGCAGGACGTTGGTGCAGTGCTCATTCTCCACACGGAAGATCGTCCAGATACCTCGTCGGCAGACTTCTGACAGCGCCACGAAGAAGCTGAGTAACGCGGAGTGCTGCAGATCCTTCGTGAAGATGGCATAGAAGATCCAGTTGAATCGCACGATAACGTCGATGACCATCGCAACATAGTATACCCATGCTTGACGGAACGCCAGGACATCGCGCAGCAACGGGCGTTTGGCGTAGGCGTTCCCCAAACTCCAATCCATGACAAGGTCCCAAACCGACACATACACGGCGTTGAGCAGCGCAAAGGTGATGAACGTAGCCTGGAAACGTTCCACTTTATCGATGCGATACAAGCTCAGAGTGACATAGTACAGAATGGTGAACGTGTATTTGCCAAAGTTCAGCAAATGCGGGAAGACGTTCCTAGTATCTGCGTAACGTCGCAGACACTGCAAAGCTCTCCAAATGCCCGGTAAGCAGGTAAAGAACCCAAGCAGCCTGGAATGCGAAGAATTGCACTGGGCAGGGTTACCCCAATAATGTGCGTAGAGACAGAAGAATAACTCGATATTCTAACACAAATCAGCCACAACACGTTAAGCGTACGACAACCGGGTTACTCACACCCATGGCATATGTCTGGGAGCAATACATGTCTCCCAGAAAGAAATCACGGAACTCAACCGGATAGAACCCTGCCAGAAGCAGACGCCACTAGATTCGTTAGCAGTGGCTTAGGGCCCGCTATGGACGGCTTCACTCACATTAGAATATGCCCACCATTTGCGGCTGCGGTGGTACAGTGTCCGCACGGGTAGGAAAAGAAGGACCGTGGTCAAGCCGACAAGGACAACAGGCCAATAAATATACATGCTATTAACTGACATGAAGTTGAGCCACATGCAGAGACCCAGCAGAAAGAAGAAAAATGACGGCAGCTGTTACAGTCAGACACAATCAAAAGATTCACGATAAAGCACCATACCTCAGTAAGCTGACGCCAATCTAATGCATGCCTGGTATCATATTCAAACACAAAGACGTAATTGATCTTGGCCCGAGTCCAGACCATACAGTCTAGGCAAAATAATAGGAAATGAAGTACAACGAGGAAATAGCCCCCATATATCTGCGCACAGTTAGCTGACAGCAGGCACTCAGAACGATGAATACTGACCTGAAGCAAGTAGCTTGTATGAGTCTTAAGTTCACCATCCCGATCATGAAGGTTCTGCACTGCATATACTAATGACTGAGCACCAAACAGGACACCACCCATCAAGAGCACACCGGCACGGAACGTGCACGGAGAATAATCTCCCGATTTATTGATAGTGTGGCGCAATTTTGAAGCGGCGATCTTGCGGTTGCCGCGCTCGAAGTAACGAGCGTACAGGTCTTCTGCAGCGGACAGCAGATTCTCAGTGACTTCGCTTTGAACGAACCACGACTTGTTGACTTTCTCAGACATGTATCTCTGCGCAGGACGCGCATTAGTAGTCTTGTCATATTTCTTGTTGATCTTACGGAAGGCAGTCCTGTTCAGGTAGGCGTACGCCTTCAGCAGCTCCACACCGCGGTAGTACTCCTGAAGCGCGTGCTTCAGCTTCCTTTTAGCGGAGCGATAGGAGACATCGCTGTTGGTTGGGTCCTCGGGCCGACGGATGAAATCGCGACGCGACACTGTATGGTCGGGATCCTGTCCTTGTAAGGCTGCTGACGGGGTGCCCAACTCTGCAAGCGCTTTAGAGTTCTTCCCGAAATGACGTCCAGTGAGAGCACCGCGTATGCCGAAGCCAGCGAGGCCACCTAGAGGACCGAATGCATGAGACTTCGGCGTTCCTTCTTTCTCTGGCCGGGCCAACTTGGCACCTAGAACTTCCTGTGTGCGTTGGTCCCGCATGATATGCAGCTGATGACGAAGCACTTTGAGGCGTTCTGCGGCCTCCTCTTCCTTCATCTGATAGAAGGATTCTATTTTGGTCAACTCGCTATCCAAGAAGGCGAAGAACTCGTCCTGGCGCTTCTCGAACTCAGAAGATCCATCCGCTCCACGCTTCTCGGGGGATTCCCAGTCCGGATAGGACAGGACGCGCTGGAGCAACGATCCTCTCCGGTTTGGAGGGCCTGGGGTTGCATTCCGCTTATGATCCTTCTGGGGCGTCGCAGGACTCCGCTGAACTATGCCCTTGGTCGCAGTTCGTGTGCTCGCATGTCGCGACATCACCGGGGACGGTGTCACAGGTACACTGGTCTGCTCCGCATCCCTCTCCGACGAGTAGTCATTATGCTTTGGGTCGATGGCGGGATCTGGCAGTCGAAGGGAGGCGACATCCGATGATCCAGCATTCAGCGGAGGAGAGGGAACGATACTTCCGTAGCTTCCAATGACGCCTGAAAACCTAGACCCGGGTACACGCAGGGGCTGACGCTCGCTGCGGCTAGAGCCCGAGCGCGGTGAGCGTGGCGTAGGACCAGTGCTTCTTATAGGGGTGGAAGGAATGTGGGAGGGATCATTGGCATCGAGTCTGCTACTGGAGCGTCGGAATGGGGATGGGCCATCAGAACCAGCAGGACGGTCATCTTGGTCGTCATGCGCGGAAGCATTGTGTTGTTGAAGAGAGGGATGGCTGGGGCTTCGAGAGGTTTTTTGGAGAGCGCGAGAGATCGCTTTGACTTTCTTCTTGCCGGTCTAGAAGGTTAAAAAAGCAAGAGACCCGTTAGCATCCAGATTGTAGCTTAAACGAAAAAAGGAAAAAAGAAAAACGTCAGTACGGAAACGATATACTGACCTTATAATCTAGATATTTGGCGCGCCACTCTGGAACCAGTTGCTGTTCCAGCTCCCTAATTTCAGCACGAACAGCTGGTTATTCTGGATTCTGAAACACAAGCTTCAGGTAGTTGAAAGGAATGAAACTAACTTGGCGAATTTCATCGTGAGCAAATGGAGCTATAGCTGGGCATGATACTAAACGCAAACGAGCAAACGGCGGGCACGAGAGTATATAGCAGAAGCAACGATCCGCATTGGCGACAAGTCACGGCGAGAAAACGACTAGTACTGGAGCTGCTGGTAGTTTCAAGACATATATAGTTGAGAGAAACTTTCAGCTCCCGTAGGAGCAGCCGACGCCTCGAAAACTTTCTTTTTGCTGTTCTTCTTTTCCTGTTCGAATCAAGCGACCCAATAGTCTGGAACCGGGACGGTCATTATTATCTCGATTACGAGCCGGACCAACAGGAGGAAGAGGAGAAAGAGCCAACCAAGACAGGGCACACAAGGGGCAAGAAGCGAAGGGAACTGGGATGAACTCCCAATCGACGCAGGAAAACCTTGAGATACGATTGAACTCGTCATCGTGCGAGACAAGCCACCCAGCCGATTCATGCCCTTTCCATTTGGTCAATCAGGCCCCAAATCGGACTGCGCGCGCATCTGATAGGCTGCGATGACTGCACGTGCTGCATGCGATGAGCTCATTTGCTCGCCGCCGGATTAATCTGCCTATTGGAGTTTGGTTTCAGGATGAACCCGGTTCCGATGTGAGTGAAAGAGGAAAGGTAGGGCCAGACCGCCTTTCGCCGCCCCCTCAAGGCAATCCCGAGGTTTGATGTTTGAAGTTGGGTCGTTGTTCCGTGGATAACCTGCCCGGCTTGGGTAATTACCCCTGTTGAGGTGGGCGACTTGCCTGGTTCGCGATATTGACATTGTTGATGTTGATGTTGATGTTGATGTTGATGATGTTACCTGACATCAAACATTGTCTTACAACTTCTGAAGCCCATGTGGGTGATGCGCCCGTCGCCTTCCCGCACACCTTGCATCTCTGCGTCCAAAACAGACCCTTGCGCCCACCGTCAACGCATGGATAATCCGCGAGCTTTCCTGAACGGGTGGAATCCTGCATATTCGTCTCCGGGGCAAGATCCCCATGATTCTACTGTTTGTTTGGTATGGGTTACGAAGCGCAAGATAAGCGTTTGTTTCACATTGAGATAATAAAAAATTCATTTGGATATCTTGGTTTATTAGATAAGAATACATGCAGGAGAGGCCGTGTTACCAGCGCTCTCAACCCATGATCATATTCGTTTCATTTCCACCATCCATCTTCGTATCAACCCCTGATGATAGGGCCCAAATCCAGTTGGTTTCCCATCACACACAAAGAGGCTTCTTACCAGCCACCACGGCGGCCCTCGAAGCGGTCAGGGGGAGGGAAGCGGCCGGGGTCGAACTCGTCGGCACCGTATCCGCGCTCGTAGTGCTCCTCGTACATGTGGTGAGCGTTCTTCTTGGCGTGCTCGCGGGCCTTGATCTTGTCGACTTCGTCCAGGCCCTTGGTCTCGGCGAGCTTGTCGACCTCAGCGCCAACAACGGCGGCAAGGGCCTCCTTGGCGAAAGCGTGGCTGACGGTCTTGCCTATAGGTCAGGTGTGGTTAGCATGGCAAACTTCACGTGGCTAGAATGGTTTTGAATGGGGCATGCATACCCTGCTTGCGCTGGTGGTCCTCCCAGGCCTTCATGCCAGCGAAGGAAGCGGCACCAGCAAGGAGCTCGTGGGACAGGTGGCCCTCGTGCTTGTTCTCGTACACCTGACGGTGAGCGTCGTCGGATTGGTCTATAGATCCATGTTAGTTACTGAAAGGCCCGGATAAACGTCGTGTTGGTGAAGGCACGAGGCCAAAGACCAGACAGGGGAACCCTGTCAGGCCAGATGGAAAGGCGAAAGTGTAAGAAAGTATGTAACTTACCCCAGCCCCAGGCCATGATGATTGATGTATGAAGTAGTAAAGGGTTTGAGGTAGAGTAGAAAGTTGAGTGTTTGATGAGGAAGAGAAGAGAAGAGAAGGTCTGAATGGAAGGGGACAGAGCATCTTATATATGTGCTGCCTAGACAACCCTACTCAGCATCTTCAGCTCCTTTGGGGCGCCCCTCCATCGACCATCCTCAGAGTGCCCCACCGTCTAATCTCACGGAAATGCATCGAAAGTCTTGAGGGGCGTTGGACAAGAGACAACATGGTTCGCTCCCGACTGTGAAAGGGTGGATCGAGGGGAAGATCATATCCAGTGAAGGGAGTGGACACAGGCCAGCTGAAACTGTGCAAAGGAGGCAGCGCTTCGAGGGGATAGATGGATCGGGATTTGATTGGAACAGGTCATCGCTTAGACGCTACGAGACCGAATAATTGAGCGGTAGTGAAGGCGAGAAGCACCCAGCCACAGCCTCGTGGAGCGATGTGATGGGCACGGAATTGTCCAGGAGGGGCAGTCGAGGGGTAAGTTACTAGCCTCAATAAGTTGAAACATCAGGTTCCAATCATGTAAGAGGAATCGTGTATCTCCGGTTGGGGATCCGTGGTCACGTTTGGGTGAGCATCGATCCTGTGCCCCTCTTTGTCAATTCTTACGGCCGAGGAAGCGAGTGTCTGCACCGCGTACAGGCTACAATGGCGATAGGCTACCATCATCTATCTAGTGAAATTGTTCCTGCTGTCGTTTTGAGGGCCATGCAGATGCCCTTGCGTGTTCTCCTGCAGGCCAGTTGGAGTCCTCACGGCCTGGAGTAACGACCATCCGGATCATCGCCTGAGCAGAGTGCGTACGTACGCGTCCAGGGTCGGAACCACGATGTTGTTGCTGGGCGACTGGGTCGAAATGGGGATCTCCTCAGCCTTAAGTCTGGGCGAATCCATTTTGGCCCATTTAGCGCCGCAGCCACAGTTTGCCCAGGCTTGGCGGGCGCGAGATGAGCCGGTCGACCCGGTCAGCTTCTCGTCTTGGTGAGGCTTGTCTGAATATCAGGTGGAGGGTGAGTGATTCCCCCGCCTTTTGGGTGATATCTCTAAGTCTATCGACGGAGTATCGGGGTAAAGCTGTCACAGACAAGTGTCAGGGACTTAGTCTCAAACACTTTCAGCCGGCTAGAAAGCCTCCCATCTTCACACCTAAAACTGGGATTCTATTTTGGGTCTCGGACAATCTGGCGAGTGGGCAAAAAGTGGTGGAATCGGTGGAATCCCCCCACTGCCATTGCCCGATCTGGTCATTTCCTCAATAGTGCGAAAAGTAGTTGCCCCTCACTGTGGCGCAGTTTCATCCCACCGCGTGGTGGCGGTGTGTGGCTTGGCTAGATACCATCTGTCTTTTTCTCCAAAATATTTACCATGTACTAATAATATCCCTCACTTAATGGCACCCGCCTGCCGAGAATATTATGTCGTCATAGTCGGTGATGTGTTGTTTCACTTAGCGCTTGAGGCATTCGGTGAGTGTCCTCCGTAGTCAACTTGAGAATATGCTATTCATTGCCTCATTTGCGTGATATCTTCGGCTCCGGGATAGCGGTCATCCGGCAATAAATATACTTTCAACATGTGAATTTAATGTCCTTCAATGATGTGCATATGTTGTACGACAGGACACACACGAATCTGGCATATGCAATAATGCTGTGCATGCATTCAATACCATAGACATGGTCTGGAATAACTGTCAGTGAGGGTGGAAGTTACTCAGAAGCGTATCTTTCCAACCCGCTGCCTTACATGGCCTGATCGACGATACTCAACCTGTCTTTTCCATACCTTTTGAGTTAAATGAACAATTGGTAGCTTGCGATAAATTCCGATACCTACAAGAGAGTACTAGAATAGTAACCATGAAATATTGCGAATTTATGACACTCATTGCAGTTTCAATTATACTATCTCAGTATTCAATCGATACTAGGAATAATGACCGTGCAACCTATTATTGATATCAAAATAGACCAAAGCATAGTATATGATACTACTATCCGCGACTGCAGTAGTGTAAGTGCTATACTACTGATACTAAAGAGCACCCAAGTCCATTCTTATTATGGCAACATGCTCATCTCCATTCCTAGTCGTTGCATACCTAACAAAATCTTGTAGTATTCCTTCAGTACTTTCGCTTTGGCTCCTAAAGAGCCTTTTCTTGACAGCCGCCAGAGAATTGGCGAATTAAAGGAGAACATAGCGTGAAGAGGAAGTTAAAGAGCTGGGGACGCAGATTGAAAAGAACAAGACATAAAGAAGATCAACATCTGGATGCCTGAAAGATGCCACCTACTAAATGTGTAGGCAGTGACCATGTCAAGTAAGTCTGGACACTGATCTAAGTACAGCAGCCCTGTTCTCTCGAAGGATATTATTAAGGTGATGGGCCTAGGTACATCTCCTGGCTGTGTTTTAAACCAGTGATCAAGATTTTGAGTTGTACACACAAATAAGGATGCAATAGATATAGACAAGCCAAAGAAATTAGGATGATGAAGTGAACACTCATATTGAGTCACTTAAATGTGCATGAATACTTGATTTAATCCTGCACACATGCGTCTTTGTAGACCCTAATTAATACAATCAATTGGACCAACAGAACTGTCCCTGACGCACTAGTCCCAAACAGGCAACTAACTGCTTGAGCTCCAAAACTTCAACCAACAACCTTCTATCAGACTTCTACATTATCACCTCTCTTGAACCACTCTGACCTCTACACGCAAATCACATATTATACACAGGATACCCTAAAGCTGCCTCATTATATCCTCCACGAAGTATCCACAACAACCACAACCACAGCCACAACCACAAATACAACAACACCGAACCAACCCCGCCAACCTCACTACATCTACCACCACCACCACAACCACACTACCTACCCATCTCCAGCAACCAAACCACCCTCCAAACCACCCAACTCCAATCCAAAATGCCACCCACCCCCCTACCCTCTCCCACTTCCCCCCGCACCTAACCCTAACCATCACGCCCCCCTCATCCACCTCCACCACCGCCAGCACCTCCCCAAACACCTCCCCCAACATCCTCCTCCTCCTCCACGGCCTCGGCGACACAAGCCAAAACCTTACAACATTAGCCCGCGCCCTCAACCTGCCCGAAACCACCGTTCTAACTCTTCAAGCCCCCACGCCCCTCCCCTTCGACCTGGGCGGCTTCCACTGGGGCGACGACATCACATTTAGCCCAGCAGGGGACCTAGACATGGACGCCGGATTCACCCGCTCCACGAATACCATAATCAAGGAGGTGATTATCGACACATTGTTGAAGAAGTGCGGGTACCGGGGTAGGGATATTGTGGTGTTTGGGATCGGGCAGGGCGGGATGGTGGGGTTGGAGGTTGCCAGGCACTTCAAGAACTCCTCACTCCAGGGGGAAGGAAAGGTGGATGAGGAGGAGCTGGGAGGTGTGGTGTCGATTGGGGCGCCGGTGGGGTTATCTGGAAAGGCGCCTGCGACTGCGTCTGCGACTGGGAGTGGGAGTGGGAAGAGTAGGACGCCGGTGTTGATTGTTGCGGGCAAGGAAGATGGAGGGGAGAGGAGTACGGCGGTTACTGCGGCTGGGGTGAGGAGGACGAAGGAGTGGTTTGACTTTGTGGAGGTGAGTAGGTATAAGAGGCGTGGGGATGGGATGCCGAGGAATGCGGAGGAGATGAGGCCTGTGATGGAGTTTTTGGCCAGGAGGTTGAGGAGTTATAAGGGGGTGCCGGAGGGGAGTGTTGAACTTAGTTGAATGTTTAGGTGAATAAGGGGTGGAAGAAGGGTTGTATAGATATGGAAGGTGGATGATGAATCTATTGTACATGACATGTTTAACTAGGATACCTATTTGCTGGCTACTGCACCTCCTTCAGAGCGGTGCGTGCGCGCTCGATCGTCTCTCTGGCGTCCTTCTCCGCCGTCACCTCTTCGACCTGTCGGCCACCCTCGCGGGCGGTCTCGCGCAGCTGCGTCTCTATTTCCAGCAGCGCGGTGCGGCCGTCTTCGCGTACCTCGTTCTCGAACCAGTGTCGCGCGGACTCCCATTTGCGCTGCTGGTTGCGCAGCGAGTAGATTAGTCCGATAGCGGCCATCGTGCAGGTCTCGTAGATGGTGGCAGTCGGCAGCGAAACGTAGGTTAGCGCCGACAATGCCGAGGTCAGGGTGGTCGTGGACATGCTGAAGAAGACCAGACGCTGCGCCAATGCCTGCAGCGACGGCACTGTCGTCTCCATGAGCCGGCGACGACTAGTCGCGATCTGCGCTGGCCAGGACGTCTGCTCCTCTTGCATAGGAGTCGCATCGGTCAGCCCGGCCTGCTGGAACCGGCCGGCAGTCCAGATGACCTCCTTTTCGGCCTGGCGCAGGTACTTCCGGTCCAGGATCTCCGACGTGATCATCCCCACGTCGTCCACATGCCAGAACAGCTTCCACCACGCCAGTCCGCGCCACGGCTTGCTGGCGAAACCTTCCTCGAGTGAGCTGCGGAGTTCCGTGTGCCCGCGCTCCGCCCACTCGGACACAGACCGCTCAAGCACATCGCGAGTCTCCCACGACACAGCGCCACTTTCTTGCTCCAGCAGCTTCCTCTTCTCGGCAGCGGCGGCACCCGCTTCCGCGGAGTCCAGAAGAGACGTGATCAACGTCCGCAAGGACGGATCCAGCGTCCCTTCCTCAGCCCGGAGTGAAGACAACCAGTCCACCACCGGCTGCACACCACTGCTGTTCCAGCCGCGTTCGTAGAGAGAAGCATTCTGCACCGACTCGCGGAACTTCGCCAATGCCTCGTCCGCCTTGTCAATATCCACAAACGCAACCCGGCCGTCGTACTTCTGTGGCTCCGTGACTGCCAGCTCAATAGCCCCAAAGACCGACACAGCTTCCTTCTTCAAATCCGACCGCGCCATCAACCCGCTATACGCCAGGAATCCATCGACACCGCTGCCGCACACGATGCTGCGATGCACAGGATACCGCACCATATTATGCCGGCCGGAATGCGACGTGCGGATCGTAACCGTAGGCACGAGGAAGGTGTCAGCCGTGAATGGGTGAGACTGGGTAGCGTCGGCGACGCCTGCTGACTCGGCACCAAGTGTTGTAACGAGGATTTCCAAATTGCCCTTTTTCAAAATGGGCGAGGGAACTGAGATCATAGGAAGGAGATCGTTGGGGATTGTTTCCGAGACTTCGCCGTACCTGCATATAATTTAGTGCCTGCTCCCCATAATGCCATGCGTGTTTGTGAATGTAGACCTACCGAATCAACAAACCCCTCTCCGTATCTTCGCCATACGCATCCAACGCATCCTCCCAGCTCTCCCTCGAGTTCAACGGGTCCGCCAACAGCAACCGAACGAGTCTGCGCGCCGCAGTCGCATCATTCAAACCCAGAACTGCCCCAATGATTAGCATTACCCCAACCGACCAAAACATCAATCACTGGCTGGGAGAGAAGTCAAAGACATACCAGCAACCCGAACAACCGGCTTCTCACTCTCCAATCCCCTCAACGCAAGCTGCAACCGACTCAAATTCACCTGTTCCGGCGCAACATCCTTGACCCGGTTAAGAGCTTCATGTAGATCCTTCAATCGGGGAGGAATATGTCTTGTGTGGACGACGGATGTGGTCGCAATGCCACTACGCTGCAAGGATGCCCATGATTGTTGTTGATGTTGTTGCTGTGGTAATTGTAGTCGAGTTCGACGCGAGGAGAGGGAGCGGCGCCAGGTGGAACAGGACGGGCAGTAGAAGACTGATGAGGAGGATGAAGAGGTGGTGTCTTGGATCTGCGACAGGCTCTTGGAGAGCGTGCCGCGGAGTTTGGGAGGCATTGACTGCGTGTTTGGTGAAGAGGGATGGGATGGGGGAAGGAAGTTGTGGAGGATGTAGACAGGGCCGGTCGGAGATTCTGGCGCGGGACTTTCGGCGGTCTTGGCGCAGCGTAGCTTATACCTTAGTTTATTATGAGAGTAGGCTATGGAGTCTGGGGTAACAATAATCGACGGTAATCAATTGACTATTTTAATAAACTAGCCTGTACAATACGAACAGCTCAATTCATGGTGTATCGATTCATCAACTCATGGTCGAGTCGTCACGGACGCTCGATTGCTGTGCAGGAATTACACAAAGCCCCCCGTCCACCTCTCCATTATGCAATACAGTAATCTTTCGCGACAAAGTATAGGAGCTACTCAATTGCAACTGTCACCACGTTGACTTCTTTGAGGTGACAGTACATAGTTCACCCATACACGGAGTAGTTCAAACCCCGAATTGCAGTACCTCTGCATGCCGCTTCGAAAGATGCTGGTTCAGATGGAACACCCAGTTACTTCCTAATCGCTCATGCTTCTCGAGAATCCCGAGTAGCATCCCTTTGTCGCCGAGACTTGCCCGATCCCGCCGACCTGAAACTCGTTAGTATGATGGTCCGGAACAATCATTCGGCTTCACTTACATGCTAATCCGCCTGGCCACAGTCGCCAGTCCGGCGTCGTTCTCTGCCTCATGATGCGCCCGCTCAAAGGCAATGCGTCTGTCTTCTTCGCTGCGCCGGATGACCTCCTCCTGCGACGGGGGCAGACGTTCGTTTTGCAGGTCGACCTTGCGAGCATCTTCGAAGTTGGTAATGGCCTGCTTGATACCCTCCGCTCCCAGCATCAGAGTACCCGCTGGGAGACGACCTCCAGCAGCGGTCTTGAGTTCGGTGACCCGCTCGGACTCTTCACGCAACACCTGGAACACACGCGACAGACGTCCAATGGCAAGAATCTTGTTCTTGATCGCACGTCGCTTGAACTCGCTGCTTTCGATATCCATCGCCGCAGGAGGAGAGGGGGGTGCGGCGGTGGGCGAGACCGACGTGGGGGTATCATCTTCAAGCTCCTCCTTGGAGCAGGTGTTGAGAATGGCAATAAGCATGTCCGTAATCTTCTCACCGACGAAGGGAAGCGACCAGGTAAAGACGTCCATGAAGTTGGGGAGCCAGTACGGGTGAGGCGTGCAGTTGAACTGTCGGATATTCATAACGTTGTTCTCGTATTTCAGGACGGCGGCCTTGTTGTTGTAGACATCCAGGTAGTTGGGAGCACTGAAGATGGTCATGACACTGGGGAAACCGGTCGTACGTGTTTTGCGGTACATGCGGTAACCGGCATCCTGTGCCTCGTGCGCCCGAATGATGGAGAGAAGGTTGTTCTTTTCGAGGAAAGCGCACGCCGCGGGGTATGAGAAGAAATACGAGCATCCACGGACGCTGTTGTGGATGAAGTAGTCACCAGTCTTCTCCTGCCCAAAGTCTTCCAGAGGATCGGCCCAGAGGATGTCGCACATCAGGCCATGAGTCGGGGGCTCCCTAAAGCGATCAATCTGTCGCCAAGTCAGCCAGCAGTCCACCAGATGTAGTGTTCAGCCCATAACATACCGCTTTGATATCTTCCAGAGTGTGCAGCTCGGGACTGAGACCTCCGTGGATACAGAGGAACTGCTTGTTCATGACCGCCGCCAGCGGCAAGGAGCAAAACGATTCGATGCATGCCTCGTAGATGCGCTCGCTGTATTTGTGTTTGCACTCGAGCTTGAAAGTGAAGTAGTCCGTCAAATGCCGACATTCGTGGTTACCCCGCAGGAGCCAGAGCGTATTTGGATACCAGATCTTGAGAGCCCAGAGATACAGGACACACTGTAGCACGCGAGTCAGTGGGTGTGGCAAATACCAAACAGCTTGCGATCACACGAACCTCAATACTGAAGTAACCTCTGTCCACATAGTCACCGAGGAAGAGGTAGCGTGTCTCGGAAGGATCTCCGCCGACCTCGAAGAGCTTCATTAAATCGTAATATTGTCCGTGAACATCACCGCACACGGTGATGGGCGCATCCATCTCCAGCAGGTTGGGTTCAGCCCTGAGGAGCTGAGTACCGGCCTGTATAATCCATAGTGCCTGATCTTCAGTGAGACGACCTTCGCGGTAGAAGTGCTGCTTGAGGAACTGCAGGTTGGGCTTAGAAGGGTCTTCACGAGACCAGAACAGGTCGTCCGGCGGGGTGTTCAACGCCGGCGCTTGCACCTCTGAAAGACCATAGAGTGATTAGGAGAGCGCTCATGCAGATAGTTAAGTAGAGGGAAGGCAGAGAGAGAAAAAAGACATTATGGCGTTACCTTTAATTACTCGCTCCATGGTCGACACCTGAGTGCCATCTTCCATAACATGTAACGTGAAGTCGATCTCCGGGACCGGCTTTTTATCCGTCACCGCACGCGCGATAGTGCGATCCATGGTGACTTAAGTGACAGGGAAGACGTAGATCTTGGATCTGGGGAAATCGCAAGAACGTCGTGCCCCGGGGGGTTGCGAGGAGGCGAAGAAAAGGGGAAAGACACCAGCGCGGAGGCCAGTTGTTGGTGGGGGGTTAAGCGGCGGCGGGATTGGATTTCACACGCGAGACAGGCGGAGATCGCGAGGACTGGCCGTTGTAAGGAACAAGCTGGACGGGGGTCACACCAAGAATCCTACGAAGTGGCGATTCCGAGGATGACAAGGGGGGAGGGGGAGCGAAATAGGGTTGAAAAAATTGAGGCTAAAGCGTGGGTCAGGGACAAGGCGAGAGGGACGAGCGAAGAGTGAGGGAAGATGGAGAGAGGCGCCGGGCAGTGCAACCCGAATAGGAGAGATGGTCGGCCTTTCCAGCTCGATATCGTCCAAGGCTGGAGAATAGAGAGGCTGAAGAGACTGCCTGACCACCTTTTTTCTGCAGAGAACCACTAGTAAAGATGATTCGGAAGAAGAAACCAATTATCGTGTAAGATAGGAACTACTAGGTAACAATCTCCCCCTCTTCGTATTC